TGGCAAAAGAGCGAAACATATTCAGTACCAAACCCCATAGCCTTATTCATATGAACAAATATAAATCAAGTCCAGAGGATGTTTTCAAAGCGTTTTCAATCTTCAGAATGATGGCCAGTTGGGCATATTTATCTTTGTCCTAATGTGTTAGATGAGGAACTTCAAACAGTTTTTTGAAAAGCAGCTTTCCAACAGGGTTCAAGCTGCCTCTACTCCAAACCCCCTCCCCTCCATCCTCTCTTCCCCCACACTCTCAAATCCACATAATAATTATGTGCATAAATAAAGAAGAAAATAAGATAAGAAAGAAAAAAAGACAGCGGTAGAAATAGACTGGGGAACTTCTGTGTAAGCGTGGCAGAAAGAAAGAAAGGAAAGATGAGAGAAATATTTCTTCCTCTCTCTGCTTCTTAATTCGCACACACTCAGATATGAAGAGAAAACAGTGGAAAGCAGTTTTTTTTTCTTCTGTAGTCCCCTTCTGTCTCTCCCTTTCACCCAGCTCCTTTCTAAAGTATGTGTGTGTGTGTGTGTGTCTTTGTATGTGTGTGAGATGTCTTGCAGGCCGAGCAGGTGCACATTACACAGAAGGATAGGGCCGACTGAGCAGAGAGAGAGAGGGAGAGAGAGAGAGGGAGAGGGAGGGAGAAAGACAGGGGAGGGAGGGGTGGTCAGTCTTATAGGTCACACAAAAGAGCCAGTGTTTTCTCCCCCTCTCTCTCTCTCTCTCTCTCTCTCTCTTTCTCTCTCTCTCTCTCTCTCTCTCCCTGAGTGCTGAGTGAAGACAGTAGTGGCAGAGGTGGAGTAGCGAGAGAGAGAGCGAGAGAGAGAGAGAGGCCCTTTGGTCACATTGTCCTCACATAGCCCCTAACCCTCACACTGGCCCCCCAGTACGCACCCCCTGTCACCCCTCACTCAGTGGCCTCCTCACAGCTCTCCTGCAACATGTGGATGCGTGCGAGAGCTTTACATCCAGCTGAATTTCATTGGAAGGATTTATGTTGCCAAACTATTTGCAGAAGTATGACAGACAACAAGAAATTAAGTTAAACAAAAAAAAAAACACAACTCAGATATGCATTTCACTGTCTCGTGTGTGTGTGTGTGTGTGTGTGTGTGTGTGTGTGTGTGTGTGTGTGTGTGTGTGTGTGTGTGTGTGTGTGTGTGTTTAAAGGCTGCATTCCTGAGCTTGCTGAGCCGTAGCTGGGTGATTAATAGCAACTAGCTGATTGTTTAAGAACTGAAATTCCTCAGGCTCATTTTTTCCTCTGCTTTTACTCACACACATACGCACACACACACACTCACACACACTCAGTCACTCATTCATGCATGCTGGCACTCAGTCACTCATGTGGGCTGTGTCATAGTGAGAGCAGGAAAGGATACAGTAAATAAGGTGGAGAGGATGGCGTGTATACATATACTGTATCTGTGTGCAGGTGTGTGTGGGTGCGTGTGTGTATGCGAGTGTTTTTGAGGCAGTCGGGTAGAATAATGGAAACTCAGTATGTGAGTTGTCTGCAGGTTACACAGGGAATTCAGGACACCGAAACATTATCCACTTCTGGCTTTCTCTCTCTCAGGTTCCTTGTCTCTGTCTGCTCCTCTGTTGCTTTCTCTCTTTCTCTTTCACTCTGAGTGTGTGTGTGTGTCCAAATATCATTTCTCCCCTTTGACTGTATGTGTTTCTTTTTATGCCAGGGCCAGAGGCATTATGTTTCCGGGTTGTCAACAAGCAATCCATCTGCCCATAGGTCCGTCATGTACATCCGTTCCATTCTCGTAAACGCGATATCTCAGGAATGCCTGAATATCATCAAATTTGACACAAACTTTCACTTGGACACAAGTATGATTAGATTTTGGTGGTCGAAGGTCAAAGGTCAAGGTCACTCTGATCTCTCACAACACATTTTTGGCCTCTTGAATGTAATATCTCAAGACCGCCTTGAGAGAATTTCTTTAGATTTGTCACAAACATGTTTTTAGCCATAACTCATGTAATCATACGCGAATTATGACACAATTTAACACTACTGTCTAATAGGATAAAGTTATGACGTGATGACATTTTATATCCAAATGGTCAAAGGTCAAGTTCACTGTGACCTAATAATGTTCTACAAAAGCACTTTTGGCCATTATTCAGTGCTGTAACTCAGGAAGGACAGATTGTGACTATATTTCCTGAAACTTGTCTGGTTGGCAGAGTCATATATCTGCGAGGTGGTAATTCTAGTTATGGTTGTTGTTGTCTCTGTCTGATCCTCTCCATCTCTTCTTCACTGTGTCTTTCCCTCCCACCTACTGGTACTTTTGTTTTCTTCTTTCTAAACTTCTTTCTTATGACTTTGTATGTTTTCTTGCCAAATACATATATTATAGGGATGGGTAACATTTAAAACAAGTGCAGATATGATACCAGAGTTTTGGTACCAATATTGTGAGGACTCTAATCATGTATTCCTAATACAAAAAACTTCTGAAATGTTAAATGCTGTGTAAACACATACAGCCATACACTAAGCATTAATAAATAAATTACCTAAAAATGGAAAAAATTATTTTTGAAAAATTGGAAATGGTCTAATTAAAGAAGAGTATAAATTTTAACAAGCAATAAATGTCAACTGTCGGGACCTGACAATTTGTGATACTCAACACTTTCAACACATTTCATATTTAGCTTCAATACCGAGCCCTTCTTCAAATGTATTCTGTCAATACATATGTATACAATATGTTGCAGGTAACTGGTGATTGATACCCCTCCAAAACACTCATACAGAAATAGCTCTGATTGTTGCTTTGATTGCTCTCAAGCGCTGATTGTTGTTCTACACAACAGTGGTAATAGGTTTGTGTGTGACTCTGTCTGTGTGTGACAGATAAATCTCTTTGCTCTGTGTTTATGGTTGTTTTGTTGTTATGCTCCCAACGGGCCTGGCTTGGACCAATAAGAATTCCCGATGTGGTATCCCGGCAATGGGAGGGTTTCCATGGCCATCACCGGCTTGGCAGGAGAGATAACGGTCTCCCTAGTGCTCCGCTTTGTGCTTTCCTTTGGTCTAGCTTGGGCTCGCTCCAAATCTAGCTTTCAGTGAAATGGTGTGAGGACGAGATGTCGTCTGATTGTGGAGGGAAGCGGGTGCAGAGAGCAGACAATGACACAGATACATATGCTTAGCTGCTCATCCTCTGAAAGGATCCAGAGTTCAGCTCTGAGCAAAGTCTTCATGATCACAGGCAGCAGACAGGCTGGGTGGCTGCTTTGAAGAGAAAGAGTGTGTGTGTTTCCTACTTGCGGAATGCTTCTGTAGCATCACAGGTAATAATAGTGTGTATGTTTGTACTATACGTGGGAGGACAGGTGTGTGAAGCCAGGGGTATATCACACTTTTAGAAGCAAGCATATTAACTGTGTGTTTATGTTTTATATGTTTGTGTGTGTGTGTGTGTGTGTGTGTGTGTGTGTGTGTAATCCTCTACCTATCAGGCGCCCCTTGTAGTGTTAATGTTTTAATGTTTAATTGAGGCTGTCAGGAACAGCGATAATGGCAGGTAAATGGTTAACCTCGTACACTTGGAATCCCACAACTCTAACTTCATTCATAACACATTATAGCAGAAGACTGCATACTCTCAATGAACCATTACATGGATTTCTATTATTAATAACTACTAGCACTAGAAATCATAGTTAGAATATAACAAATGATAAAAAAATTTAAATATATTGAAGCGTTTTTTGAAGATTGTTCATGCTATTTTGAAATATTCTTAACAAACCCATAATTTAGAAGATTCACTGGACTAAACAGTGTGATTTCACCCGCAGACACTCTGGTTTCAGCCAGTATTATTTTCACCCGAAATGTCACTGAGGCTGCACTGTTTAAACAAACTCCTCTGCGACCTGGAAACAGTAGTCACACATTCCCAGAGTACATACATGAATGTGTATGCATTTTGCTAGGTATGTCTGATTTTCTGGCAGATATGTCAAACATTACCAAGGAGTCATTTATCACCACATATTAACTTACACTTGCTGCACCTGTAGAAAGAGGAGTAAAAAACTAAAGGAAAGGAAAAGTTTTGGAAAAAGCGATATGGACAAGGGTGAAAAACAATATGCTCATTTGCTTTCTTGCCGAGAGTTAGATGAGAACATGGATACAAAACTCATGTTTGTGCATTTAATATGGAACTACAGCCAGCAGATTGTTAGCTTAGCTTTGCATAACGAAAGGTAACGGGGGTTCCTTTGATATTGACTTGCATCCACTTCTGTTAATCTGTTTCTTGGCTGTCCAAGTTGGTCAAGTATGTTTCTTAAGACCTAAAATCCCCCCAAAAATCCATATTAAACCTCCACAGCTTTTCTTACTGACTCAGAATTGATTTTCTCACTCTCAGCTGCTCAGCCATTCTTTCCATAATTTGATTTTGTATACAAAATGAATATCTCAGCGTTTAGTTTATTTAATCTTGCTCTCCCTCTCTTTCCCCCTCTTTCCTTCAGGACTCTTCTTTAGAAAGAATGCCTTCTCCAGAATATGCCTTGTCTCCATGGTAACAGGCGTCAGGCAGACCCAGAAAAACACTGGGCCAAGCAGGTCCCACTCCTGTCCAACCTACCTGATCCTGGATTGTATTGAAGAGGATTTCAACAAAGAGAAAATACAATAAATGATTCCCAACGTATTATTCATATCCAATTTTCTCTTTGTATTTTGCCAATTGCAGTGCTCTTTCAGGAACCAGGATGCTTAAAATCATGCCTGAAAATGAGCATCTGTTTTAACTTGATGTACTTTTAGAAAGTATTACTTTCTACCGTTTTGGGATCACGATGCAAAGGACTCTGTAAACTAATTTAGATGTTTTCCTAAAACCAAAAGGTGAAAAGCTGCTGCCACAATTCAAGATTTTCCTGGAGTTTTATGTCAGGGATTTACTCATTCTCAATTAAAGAATCATAAACTGGACAGGAACAGTCCCAAACTGGTCTGTCCTAAACCAGGACCAGGATGCACCAGCTGTTCAGCCAGGTTCTGGGCCAGAGGGATCTATCCAGAGCTGGGGATCTGTTCTCTCTGGAGGACACAGAGATCGAGGACTGCCTGTCACAAGCACTGGACCAGATCAAGGCCATCTCCTGCTCACCGGTGAGCAGCCGTTTTTAGACAGGTCAAACCAACACACATAGACGATACTTATCCAAAATATTTTAGAGAAAATGTCAGTTGAATTCATTATTTATGATCTTATCCATAATTCATCTCTTTTGTCCTTAATTTATCATTGTACCCTTAATTTTGCATCCTATTACTGTCTGCAGGACTATTTGACCAATGACAATGACCAGGCGGTGGTGGAGATTTGCATAACGCGCATAACCACGGCCATAAGGGAGACAAGCTCCATCGAGCTACACAGTGTGGCACTGGTGGGGCTGTGGGAGTCGTGTCTGGAACATAACCTCACCCCACAAGGTGAAAACACAGAGGACACCCCGCATGCCAAGATAGCCTCCGACATCACCAGCTGTATCCTGCAGGTACATACACACACACACTAGACATTGTTTTGTAATGGTGTATTCCAGGGAAGAATACTTCTTTATTTGTTTTTCCTGAAACATAAACTACACATACGTATGTTGCAGGGGGGTATGATGTGGCTGGGTAGCCTAAATTTAGTGATTTTGTTTTGTCCCATTAATCATCTTGTGCCTGTTAAGATTTATCTTGTGATCCGTTGGAGGGGTACTGACCCCCGTGTTGGTTTAAATCTATAAACAAATACTTGAAATGTAATTTGTCTTTCTAGCTCCACTATATTTTCTGTGGTATTTTTTCATAACAGTGTATATACTTGTGCAAACATGACCCACAGTTTTTAAACTATTTAAAACATCAATGGTAAACATCAGCTTGAAAGGCATTCTGGGTGTTCTGAAGAAGAAGTAGATACGTATCAGATTGATGCTACATCATGCAACATATCCAAAGGTGGATTTTTGCCTTGGCTAGCAGATACACTTTATGTAATCACTGCTGCAGGGCTTCAAAATGTAAATCTAAATCTTGCCTGCCTTTCCCCATCAGACCTCCACAGCTAAAAGGCTTAAAAGCAAAGGGACTCTCTCTCTCTCTCTCTCTCTCTCTCTCTCTCTCTCTCTCTCTCCTCCACCTTCGCTCTCTCTATTTCTCCCCCTATTTCCTGTTGGAATGGGAATGTGCTTAATACCACCATAATGAGACTGATTCTTGTAGAAAGGCATGTGCGCGCACACACACACACACACACACACAGAGGTGAGACGAAAACTTCTGACAGCTCTGACAGCAGCTTCTGGCTCTGATGTCCTAACTCCCAACAGTTATCAGGAGAGCACTTCTCTCTCTCTCTCTCTCTCTCTCTCTCTCATTCCTCTCTCTGTCACTGTTACTTTTTCTGTCTGTTTTTTTTTCTTTCTTTTCATTCTTTCTATTTTTACCATCTCACTTTTTCTGTCTTACCTTCTCTTACCCTCCAGCTGACTTGATCTCTTCTTGGATCTCTTCTACTTTCTCTGTCTTCCTGTCATTTTGAATCTACAGATGCACAGACAATCTTCTTTACCCTTCCTCTGAAACTCCCACAGCACAGAGGGGAGGTAAGAGAGAAGTGAGCAACAGACAGTAGGAAGAGCGGGTTTTCATTGGCAAACTGTTTGTCTGTAACACACACAATTAATATGGACTCCTTGATCTGCGCTGTGCCTGACATTAAAGTAACTCTCCCTGGTAAGATGAAAGCGAGAGAGACGGGACAGATAAATAAATCTGTACATCCATACACAAGGAACCTCCTACGGGGCAAAAATGTATTGAGGAATCTAATGACTTACTGACTTACATCCACTGCTTACATTATGTGTTTACCTCTCAAATACAGACTAAATGTTCATTTTTGATGATTTCTTGCATGCACACATATTCACATTAAATTAGGTCCTGCCAAACAAATGTAGTGTGATGCAGATTGATAGATTGTCAAATGGATTACCTTGACGGGTGGGATTATAATTTTTGTGGATTCATTGTCTGCACTGCCATCATGTGGTTGAACGGAGGCATCACGGACAGAAAGAAAGAGAGTAGAATTCTTCAACTCTCTCAAATATCAACAGTAAACATTAGTTTGTATGGCATTCTGGGTAATCATGAAGGAGATTAGGAAGGTTGAGGTTGAAAGTGGGTACATAAGTATAAAATATATAATATCCAAGGAGTGCAGTGAACATCAGATTAATAATATATCATGCAACATATCCGAGGTGGATATCTGCTGTAAGAGCAAATCTACTTTATGTAAGCACTGCCAAGGGGCTTCAAAATGTAAATCAAATTTAATTTCTTTTTTTTTATGCGGGTGAGGAGGGGTTGGGGGTGGGTTTCTGCAGCTATCTCCTTCAGCCCTCTCTTCCACACAAGCACATGTACATGTTCATGTTCAAACAGACTTGGTATCAGACTCTCCAGTTGAGGGAGCTAGTGCATCTCTAACCCCCTTCCTCTTGCTTCATTCAAACTTATTTCAGCCTATGCATTGTCAAATACAACACATGCTCCTTTGCTTCTCTCTCCACTTGCATCACATAGTAAATGCACACAATTTAAGTCTTAATACCAGTTTCTGTCTGGCACTCATTGTACTGCTTCATGACAGTGTACTTACTGCTACTTCTTATTGTTTGAAATCACTACAAAAGAGAATATTTATCAATTTGCACCTAGAAAGAACAGGCACCTGCTGTTGTTCTTGGCCATTGCAGATAATAAGAAATAAAGGCCACCAATCAGCCACAACGCTGTATGACTATTGCTTTCTCCTCAACCTTCTCTCTACTTGTGTCCCCTCAGAACTACAGTTGTCCGTCGGTCATGGTGCTGGCTGTCCCGGTGGCGGTGCGGTTCCTGCAGAGAGGGAACAGGGAGCTGAGTAGGAACATGTCCAGTTATCTCTCCCTGGCTGCTATAGCCAAGGCTGATCTGTTGGCTGAACACACAGAGGCCATAACACTCAGCGTGCTGGGAGGTAGGACACGCTTACACAAACACACTCACGCACACTATGCAAAAACAAATGATGACTATTTCTGTCCATATGCACACTTTCCATACATATTATCATACATGCACACAAACACATGAACAGAATTTAATCCTTATGCTGCCATACCTCAATAGCTGTTGCTGTTGAAAAGGGGAAAGTGACATTTAAACTCTTGTTTCTGTGATGTCCAAACTACAGTCTGGCTGACTTGTTCTCTATAAATGTGGTTTAAGCATTTGCTTGTGTTGTTAGCAAGTTTTACCCTTTCAAATCCAATGGCTCTCATCTCCTCTTCTCTCGCTCGATTTCTGCTGCCCCATTTAGATACAGATCTTCTCACACACTTAGGAAAATGTGTGTGTGTGTGTGTGTGTGTGTGTGTGTGTGTGTGTGTGTGTGTGTGTGTGTGTGTGTGTGTGTGTGGTGTGTGAGTGTGTGTGTGGGCGTTTGTCTCTTTTGTAGAGACTATAAAGAGAAAGAGAAGCACAGAAAGAGCTTTGTAGGAAAGCTCCGCTTAAGAATGAACATTAAAAGGATTCTCTGACAAGGCCATCGTAGGCGCCATTGTTTGTTTAGTTGTAGATGGTTGACGTGTGGGTTTGGCTTGTAGAAATAGGACTTGTTTACTCTCACTGTTACTAGACCTGCAACAATGAGATCAACTGTTTTACTGGGGTGGAAAAAGGAATTACAGACGTAATCATTAGTTGTAGTAGCAATTTGCACTCTTATCCTATCATAAGCTGTGGTGAATGCTATTATAATGATTGCCAGCTCACTGAGGATGATGATGATGGTAAATAACAGCTGTTACAAATCATTGTTTTCCCTGATGGCACTTTGATGCAGAATGGAAATTCATACGTAAGAAGTACTTATTATGTGGAGAAAAGGACAAGTGCTTCTTTGTCTTTCTGTCACTCTAACTTTGCACTCTCAACTTGGCTTTATTTTCTCTACCTTCTGATTAGAACATATAAAACAAGATTTTACACACTGTTGTTTACATCTCTTGTGTTATTCTATTCATCAACTTTTCCACTTATCACACAAACATAGATTTGGCTACACACTGACACAGTCAACAAACCATTTGTGCATTTAGCCCCACAAGGATTAAATTTCTAAATACTTGAAGATTTTTTTTCCAATGACCAAATAACACACATGTGGCTACGTTGTGCGAGGAAGTGCATGTATCCTCGAAAAGCAGAACTAATGTGATAGATCGAAAATCCTCCAGGAGTGAAATTGTCTTCAGACATTGATCTGATTGCTAATTTCTTCATCTTCTTAATGGTTAAGGTTGGAGAGCAGAACACAGCTGACCTCTGGTCAGTGGTTAATGAAAGCTTTTTTTTGCCCTTTTAACCTGTTCAAGCTTATTAGTGCATTGTAGGTTAAAGGTCCATAGTTAGCACTGCCTGATGGAGATCTGTTTATCCCTGAGGCCTTCACACACACACACACACACGAACACACACACACACACACACACACACAGGCTGCATTAACATCATGGGTTTGCTGCACAGGGGTTCAGTTAATAGCATTTACTTTCTCCTGAAATAATTCAATTGCACATTATGTGAACATGATTTTGTGTCGCTCAGTTTGCTCAATTTGCACGTGCAGGTGTGTTTTTTCTCTTTGAATTAATCTATGTGTTTGGCAACATGCTGAACTAACACCTTACACACATATACACACACCAGCTCGTGATGCTAATCGCCTCATGCAACACCAGAGTGAGGAGCCCACCATGTTGATGCTCCTGCCGAGCACTTTTTCTGCCAGCAGCTCGGCACATGAAACAGCTTAGCTCTCTGCTGTCTGGTTGATTTTACCACTGAGCTGTAGCCAGGTTTTGGGTTTGGAGCATTAAATAGTTGGAAGACACTTTACACCTTTGGTTCCTAAAACTGTTGGTGAAAATAGAGAAGGTGGTCTGTGCCAATGGAAAAACAGAAATCAGGTGTTTTTCTGATTAGAGTAGTTATATGAGACTAAAAATGTGGGTTCTGTGTTTAAAATGAGTCAATGTGGCTGAATGTTGATGTTGGAGGTGCATTAAGACGCAGTGCCTCTAGCTGCTGGTAAATGTTGACTGAAGACAGAAACAACACAACTTTTCACTAGGAATACAAAGCCATATTGTCAAATCATCTCTCTGTTGAAAATATTTCTGTGTTTGAGGTACACTATGAAATCTTTGAGCACTAGTATCTCTTCATAGGTAGGTTCACATTTTGAATTGTATATTCAACAAATAAGGTACTAATTCACATTTTTCTCCTTTTATATAGAACCCCAATCTTCAATGAATCATGTCACGAAATATAAAATATGTATGTATGAAATACAAAAATACATATCAAAATCTGTTTTTAACCATAGGCTTAATAGATATAGGCTAAAAGGTGGATATTTAACATCATAGCTGTCCAGTGTTTTCTCGGTGCTACTTTGAGACTGATAAAGTACAAACTAACAATGTGAGCTGAGAATATTTGTGTTCGCCCTTTATCTTACTCTCACAAGCCTTTATGCACTCAGTATTACACCAAAGTCAAATTCAGTTAATTTCAGAGACTAAAGAAGAAAACAGAAGTCCCACACTGTGTGTATCAGTGTGTTATTTTCATGTTTTTCATTTTAATGTTTAAATTTGGTTGCCACACACACGTATCAAGTTCCTGAATGTCATTCTGAATGTTTCCAATACATTTATTTATATATATCACCTTCACATAACACACATAAAATCCCTCTATGGGATCTATTGGGCTCAGAAAGGATCAGAAATAAACAGTGAGGGAGGAAGAGGAGAAAAAGATGGGATAGATAGAAAGTTCTATGGAAATGTGCGTTAAAGCTTCCAGTGGCTGTGATGCAGCTTGACAGGGAGGGGCGGGGTGAAGTGATGGTGGACCTTTATTAAAGCTGAAATATGTCACACACACAAACACACACATACTAAAAGCGGAGAGAGGATGAAAGTGAACCAGGCTCGCTGGAGGGCTTTATCATAGCGAGTTCAGATTTATATTTCCTTGGGCAGTTTTTAACGCAGCCTTGGCAGTTTCAAAATTTCCCCCCCTACTGCAGCTCACTGCTGAGGCTCATGTGCTGTGCTCTGAACGTTTCAGCCTCATGCTGCCTTTTGAACAAGCCTGGACCCACTACATCTCTCTACTCCCCACTGAAACCTCAACATAAACACAGCACAACATAAACACAGAGACTACAATCATGCCGAAACGTGCACACACAGACATGCAGCTCATTGAAACAACAACAGATGACCTGTCTTTTTCTCAGCAGGAAGTGAACTGATGTAATGGGGTTTGGGTGAAGTTGATGACGGGGATGTGATGGGTTGGTTACATGAGCTAGCAGGATGGATGGACCGTGCATGTATGTGTTTATACTGCAAGTTTGTTACTGAAGCCTGATGTTGCCACGTGCTGGTTTTCACTGACTTTATACCTACTCCTTTGTGTTCTAAGGTAGACAGCATGTTGGCACATGACTTGACAGTGTGTTTTATGAGGATGTGAGTGTGTTTACTAGTTACAGGAAGTTAGCAGCAGGATACAATGTGAAGGTTTTACAGCCAGCTACAGTAAGTCACAGCAGAACACACACACACGCACACATACACACATTCACGACATATGGTATTGCTTTGGCCCCATAGGGATTTAGAGCGGAGAGTTCCTTCCTTCTCAGTGTAAAACCTGATCTTAAGGTAACACTGAAGTTTGGAATGTGTCATCTGTCTAAGTCATATGTCTTTTTTAGCTCCTCTGCTGCAAAACACATGTAGGTAGTGGTACTGTACTTCGGTCTGCATGGTTAAAAGACGGCAGGGTGAGGAGAGGGAGGGGAGTGGGGGGTGTAGCTGGATTAGGGTGAGTGTGAAAAGTGACGTTTCCATTTCATAACAGGTCACAGCTACAGAGACAGTTGGAGACGACTATGCAGTGGTTGTAGCTGCAGGAGAAACTTGTTATATTTCACCAATGGGCCTGTAGCAGGATGTGCCACTTTAATCTATATCTATGCAGATGTAGTTGTTAGAGTATTTTAATCAACAAAAGATTATATGTAGTTTATGAAATTAATTGATTTTGCATGTTCTGTATATCATAATCTCAGTGAGTCAAACTTAGCACGAGGAGTGCTAATATACTGGTATTAACTGTGATATTTACAAAAAGAAATATTGATATTTTGTTAATAATACACATATTATAAAATCATGATGGCAGATGTTAGGCCTTTTTTTATGAGCCTTTTCACTGTCCATTAAGTGTAACTGTTCTTTTTGTGTGCTTTTGTACAGTTGGTTACAGACTCTTTCTCTACCTCCTACACTCATATTTGAATCTAATTCATTTGCCAAAAAAGAGACAAAACACACACAGAGTTAAAGAACAATTTGACTGATAGCATTATTATTATATTGTTATTCAAATTTTCTGCAGATATCGCGATAATGATTTATTTTGGCCATGATAATCATGTAGTGAAAATCTGATATCGTGACAGCCCTACTTCACACTACTGCTTTCTTACTGTAGTAGTAGTAACTTTCTGACCCCTCAAAATTTTGTTTTCCTCTTCACTGTGTTTTCAAATGTTGATCTGGTGCATTGCTTTGTGTTATTTAAAACACCTTGAGTTGCCTCTATATTCGAAAGGCTTTACACAGATATGCAAGCTTTGAATCAACAGACAGTTTTCTGTCAACTCAGCTTGTAACCGTTGTGAGCTGCATCAGAAAAATGATCAATTTGGTTGTCGTCCTTCATGAAGTTTGAACACAGTTGCAGATGTTTTTTCCAGTGTCCAATATGCTTTACTTTGCATTGCATTTTACCAGCACTGATAAAATGTTATTTTTACAGCATAACTCTTTGCTCAACTAACACGGAGATGCCTTTAAACAAACTAACTCCACAATCCTCCTGAGCACATTATTCAAAGTCCTGCTTAAATACTATAAGTAAATGACAAATAGTCCAACACAGTCTTGATTTTGAAATGAAAAAAGCACTGATTACTATAACTTGAAAAGTTTATTCATAACTCACTCTCCATTCATCCAGTCATGTTATGCAAAATATATTTATGTACAAAATACATTCAGTTTCACCATTTCACAAGAAAAACAAAAGCACATTTACATTATAATACAAGACAACTTAGTTCATAAAAGATTAGATTGTGTAAACATTTTCCTCAGTTTCTGTTCATCAAACTCAAAAAAACAATCTCAGTCTCCAATGACAAATGACAAAAATAACAGTTTTACTCTTATTACTTTATGCAGTATCAAAAAAGAAGACATATATTATCCTAAAAATAAATGAGAACTACAGACAACAAAAAAGAAAAAAAACCCTAACAAAGTAGAACTGGAATTATATAACTCATATGAATGTAAACACTTTGAGGAGTACAAGTTTGGAAATGTAAAGTCTTAAAAATGCGTTTAACACTTTCACAAATTCAAGAAAATTACGATATAATAATTTTGTTTTAAGCTATTTCTAGAGTCACTATATGGACAGGCTTGAAGTGAACGCAAGTACAGCAGTTTTCAGTCACACAATTATTACATAAGTTTAAATCACGCGTTATACTGCATGTGACATTACAACACAACACACCACATTAGTATGGTACCTCTGCTTTCAGATGTAATCGGGATAGATGACAGTCAGTCTTCAGCTTCTAATAACTGCACCTACAAGACTGCAAAGGTAGAAATTTAAATATTTGATTATATTAATGTTTCCCAGTAAAATGTAAAGGGAAAACAGGGTTTGCATTGATAATAGATTAACTGCACTTGCACAAATCTAGATAGAAAGAAAGGAAATCCATTATTACTCTAAAAAAACACATCACTCTACAACTACAAGATAATCTCTTGTAATTGTCTGTGACCTCTTATTTACCTCTCCTGCAAGGCTGTGTGGTGATTACTCTGTTTAGTGGCTCAGAACCCGTTCACTTTCACAATAGACTTTTTGTCTTTTTTGCAGACTAATTAAGTCTTTGGCAAATGCTGCATGCAGCACGTTTCCTAAGCTGTGTGTGTGTGTGTGTGTGTGTGTGTGTGTGTGTGTGTGTGTGTGTGTGTGTGTGTGTGTGCGCGTGGGTGTGGCAATGAATGCAGCATGTGTGTGTTTTGGCCTCAGTTCAAAAGGTAATCTTACATAAATAAACTTCAGTCTCTCACCGCATTGGCTCTTCCTCTCATTTGAACACGTCCAGTAAAGTTCATTGCAGCATTAGCATTCATGTTAAGAGTGGTGAAGATGATGATGAATGAAACAGTCTTGATAAGAACATAATAATTCAAACATTAAACTATAGGGACAAAGATGATGATGATAAAAGCAGCGGTAAGTTGCTCTCTTCACTTTTAGCAGGAAAACTTATTACGATGTTGCTGATATTCACAATAATGATGATCATGATGACGCAGATGAAAATCACAAGGAAGTCTGTTAGTAGATGAACTGAGCGCCTGCATGTGGCACCATCTCCGTCACGCCCCACGCCACCACGTTTCCTCTCTGCTCACAGCCCTGGCCCTTCTGCAAAGCCAGCTGGGAAATCTCCTCCTCTGACAGCGCCCTGTCCCACATGTTCACTCCTGTCATCTTCCCAGTGAATGCAAGCTTGGGATCGAACCCTCCCTCAAACCCTGCCACGCCGCTCCCGCTACTTGGAGACAGAGGGCAGCAGCCGTTCCTTTCCTGCCCCAGCTGTAGTGAGCCCCCGTCGGGTAAGATGTGTCCCTCAGCCACTCCAGGCGTGGAGGCCACTTTTTTTCCACCTGACCACAGGGTCGCCAGGCCCTGGTCAGAGGACCAAGCCCCACACAAATGGATCCACTCTCCCAGTTTCACCACACCTCGTGCCTCCACCAGGTGAGCCTCTCCTCCGATGGTGAAGAACACAGACGTTTGGCTGAGCAGCAGCTGGATCTCATATGGGTTGCGACGGTTTCCATAAGAGAGCAGCACTGTTTTGTTGGAGACAGTGGTTGGCTTCACCCACATGCAGACAGTGAAGGAGGAGATGGAGAGAGGGACATCTGGTATGACAGATGTGTAGATTCGACGGGAACGCATCGGGAAGAGGAGGGCCATCTCACAGCCTAAGCAACAAGAAGACGCAATAGTGTTTAATGTCACTGAATAAAATCATCTTTTCATATGCAACTTCAACTCAAGTCGACTTTCTATGGATGTGCTAGATGTCTTAACAACATACAGCTTGAAGTAACTCGTTAATGACACATACTTACCTTTTTACTGTGTGAGGAAAACAAAGCTAAACATGTTTCTTATGTGTTGAGGTCTTGAGGAGTGCATATCAGCAAATTTTGCCAAACAACAGTACACACTAGTAATAAGAAATTCTGTTCGGGGCTAATAGTAGTTTACAGATATCAATAAATTGCTGGTAAATCAACCCTGTCCTTGCATGCAGATGTCAAATCAACTTTTATGTAACTGAAATCTTTATCAGCTTTACTGTAATGGCAGATAAAATTGGGTGTCATCAGCATAGTCGAGAAAATAATCATTTTTATTTTTAATAATGATATGGCCAAGTGGGAGCATGTAAAAAGAGAAAACAATTGGGCCTGAAGTTGAACTTTGTGGGACTCCAAATAAAGTGAAGTTTGAAGATGAGACTCAGTTTCCAATGCAGATGATGTAAGCTACAGCTAGCTCAAGTTATCAGTTTAACTTCTTGCAGTTACTGGATTCCACAGGCTGCACAAAGTGGATTGGAAATTTGGAAATGTGATCGACTTATACTTGTCAACCTACAGTATATGGCAGTATATGGCTGTGGTTGAATGAGAGACAAAGTTCAGCTGACGGTCAGGTGATGATATCATGAATGATGGTGAGTTTTTTTTCCTGCCCCACCAACACAAACACACTTCCCTCCCTGGGTCATCTGGTTCAGTGGTTTGTTCTGCTTCATTTCATTATTTTCCATGTTCCTCTCTCTTTTTACTCATTCAAACATAACCACTCACCCTTTCAAAGTCACTCTGCATTTTGAAACCTACTTTTGTTGGTTAATTTCTTGGTACATAAAACACACATTTTTACTCCATTGCATAATTTTATATAGATGCATTTTGTGCAGACGAGTTCTGTTGGAGGTTTAGTAGACCTCCCAACTTGTATCCTTAATTTAAATTCTTCTTCACCCTCTTTTTAGTTTTCTCTTCGTAATTTTTATTCTCCATTTGTTTCACTCTCCTTCTTTTCTCAGCTGTGGTCTCCATCTGCCCCCCTCACCCCTCCTTTACCTCCCTCTCTTTCTCTCTCTCTGTCCAGTTAGCAGACACACTCCCTACCCACTAAAAACGGGAGAGCCCAAATATTGATGTTACATTTGTCTCAGGTTTCTGCCACTCAGAAAATAATGGTGAAAGAAGACATTTTGAACAACATTTTGTGTGTGTGTGTGTGTGTGTGTGTGTGTGTGTGTGTGTGTGTGTGTGTGTGTGTGTGTGTCTCCATGATGGTTTCCATCTGGTTCTGCTTTCCCAGGGTGCTTTGGTGTGGTTTTATGTGGCCACAGGCTAATGATTACAATTCCCACTGCCCTGTATGTAGGCCAGACCTACATTTCTGGACTGTAAATGTGTGTATTCACATGTGTGCGTGTGTGTGTGTGTGCATGCATGAGATGAGTAACATGTTGAGTAAAACTTGAGGTTTTCATTTGATCAATTCAAGGGAATGAAGTTGTCTGACTGACATCCTACCTTTTGTAGGACTAAACTTGCTCCAAGTTTTCTTACTCACACTTAGTCACTTAATCTCTAAAGTTACATGGTTATTAGTCAGTGTTTATTTCAGGGATGAAGAGTAAACCAAAGCTCTGCTAAATGAAACCACTGTGTCCAGTAGGAGTTCTTTCCAAATGCAGTGTTTGTGTATTATCCCTATCTTTTCATGCTGCTGTTGGCTTCTACTATTATCATTAAAACACTAAAAATACCTCTAAATGTCTGTCAATGAAAATGGCTGTCTTTTTGGGGTTTTTTGAGTGTATAATAAATGTTAAATAAACAGAAATAAGAGGCAATAAGTGAGCATTATACAGCTGACCCCATACCTATCTTATTCTTTTTGTTTGACTTGACCGTATTGATGGAGACTACTATTAGTGAGTGAAGTGAAAAGGATAGGTTGCTACTTGAGGCTGGACAACACGCCTGGAGACAGACAGAGGAAATGGAAAAGGTATTTAGGACAAACACAAGCTGCATGATTAGTTTTTCTGAAGCAAGGCCCAACAGAGGGGGGTCTCATTCTTTTACTTCAAGTGTGACCTGAATGTGTCAACGCAGAAAAGAAAAACTGAAGGTGGAAGGTTGTATGGGTGGCACTGTTTGAGAAAGGTGAAGAGAAAGACAAAGAAACAGAAAGCAACAGGTAAAGACGGACACAGATTACTAAGAGCAAGATGGATATCTTACCTGCGGGTAGGTATCTTTGCCTCGATGACCTTAGCACCTCCTCCAGCTCCGCCCTCGTCTGTTGCAGTGCAGTCAGCACCCTGTCTAGAGCCACGTCTCGTGATGTGACCTCCTGCTCCCGGCGTCCAGCCCTTCCACCCTCTGGAAGCTGGAATGCTGTCTTTGTATTCATCCCCATCCCAGCTCCTGGACTGCTGAAGCAGTTGGTCTCGAGCTTGGTGAGTCGGGAAGCTTGCGTTCGTGCTGCAGAGAGGAGCTGATGTAGCATCACCTCCATGTTGTTGGAATTGCCAACTGAATTACCAGAAGCAGCAGAAGCAGAAGCAGAAGCAGGAGCCTGATCTCCAAGTCTGAGGCGCTCCAGGGTTTCTCTGAGGCGGCCCTCTAGTTGCAAGGCCATCCTTCTTCCTGCTGTCTCCACTGCAACCCCACAGGAGCCACCATACTGGGCTACAAACCTGACCAATATAAAAGATGTTCACCAAAGAGATTTCATCCTCTGCAACCAAGGATCATTTAGCACCACAATTTGACCTGAAATTAATATTTGCTCTTGAGTAAAACAGAAATTATGTTGCATTATCCATGAGATGCCCCAATCAACAATTTTGACAATTGATTAATTGTTCAAATAATAACTGTTCTTCATCTTCTATGATGGTAAAATGAATATATTTGGGTTTCAGCTGTTGTTGGATAAAGCACAATGTTTGAAGATACTACCATGGACTGTAGGAACATGTGATATGTGTGTAAACATGTGACATTTGCGCTGTTTTTGAACATTTTATAGTGCAAACGAGTAATTGATGAATAAAATAAATGGTAAATTATTTGATAATGAAAATAATTGTAAGTAGCACTCCTAGCATCTCAGTGGATCAATTTGCACTTCAAGGTTGTAAACTGTCCAGTCTTGACCTCTCAATATCAAGGTGCTCAGCCCTTTGAAACTTTTTAGCTTAATTGGTGAAACTAACACAAAAGCTAATTTCATCTCATTTGAAACGGGAATTACTCTGACCTCTCATTCCTTTGTCCAACCAACCTGAGCATTTCCCCGCGCAGTGACCCCATCTCCACCTTGACGATATCATCGGCGTACTGAAGCAGCATGTTCTCCCTCATCTGACTGTTCTCCAGCATAGAGAAGATTTTGTCCCACTTGGTCAGGTCTGGAGAATTGCAGGGCGCAGAGCTCGGTGTGGCTGGAGAGCGGGATGGTGGAAAGAGGGAGAGAAAGAGATGAAGTTAAGAGACCTAACAGGAGATGAAATCATCAGTCATACAACATGTAGGTAGTGGGGGATTTCCTTTTGGTTAAAACAGGGGTTTTTTCAACCCCTAAGGGTTTCAAAGTACTACATTGGCCTTCAGGAGAGCAGTGGAAAAGTGTATCTATCCGGCAGAGGTTGATATTGCTCAGTGTGCTTATTTACCACATGGTAGGACAGGTGTGGATTCAGAGGGAGGAAGCAGGAAATACCTTTAACTTTTATCAGATGTGCTGATTTGAACATACTGTGATTCAAGGCAATAATTGTAAGGAGAAAGAAGAAAAAAGAAAATATGTTGGGAGACTGACTGCCGCGAATGCCCTGGCAGAGACAGTAGAAGCAGACGGTTGAATAACAGGTAAAAAGAAGGATACAGTTGGGGACAAAAGAGAAAGTGAAGTTGTTGGGACAATCGATAAGAACGTGGGAAAGAAATAGAACAATTGGCTAGTAAACCAAAAGCTCTGGCTGCTGTTTTTCTGGGGAGATCATCTGAAGAGGGGGGATGAAACAAAACCAGGGGATAAAACAATCCAGGAACGAGAATATGTGTCAGACACACTGTTCTGATTAACGTTTGAGCCTGTTTATACCTGCAAACGTGTTCTGGAGGGGCTTTATCACAGGACTGGACTTGGATTTGTTTTGGCTGCCTGTCCCCAAGGTTCAAAGTAAATTAGACAGAAGGTTCATGCACTCTGCTCTCTTACCAAACTAAAAGCTCAGGTCTGACACTGGTTTATGAATGATTTTGATGGATGTGGGAGAAAGTAGAGTGTACAAATACCTTTTAGAGTAAGATTTCATTAGTGTTGATCTTTGACCCTTTATGGTACTTGACCTACTGCATCTAAGGATTTGTAAAGTAAATTCTACTTCTACACTTACGTCTTATTTTGACTGGCTTAGTACTTGTTTTTAAGAGAGACAACAGCCTGTTTGGTTTTGTTTGTTAGAATTAAATCTACTGTTTATTCGTGAATGAATGAATGAATGAATGAATGAATGAATGAATGAGTATGGTAGGATTAGTTGAATAATGGATTAGTCAATTTAAAAAGAAAAAAGATTCTGAAACTATTTTGATAATCAGTTGATAATTTAAGTTAAGCCTTTCCAATATGAGGATTTGCTTTGATTTATTTTATTGTAAACTGAATATTTTTTGGATATTTTTGGACTGTTGCTTGAACAAAACATTTGATAATATCAGCCTGGGCTTTGGGAAATATTGATTGGAACTGTTAGCCATTTTCTTCCATTTCATAGACATAACATAATGTCTGATAAGTAAAGAATATAATAGCCAGATTAATGCTACAGAAAATAATCACGAGTTAACCCTTGAATTAATATTATTTTTTGTTACTTTACAAAGGGGTGAGTAGCAACTGCAGGAATGAACTTTTAAGTACACACATACTGTATTTGTACGTGTACAAGAAGATGGAAAAGTACTTAACCTCCTTCGCCCAACAGTCTAGGCGTGTTGGGAAAATGAATAATATATGGGTTTACTTATCTGCTACATGTCATTCTTCTTAAACTGAACTGTGTCGTGACCTCATGTTGTCCTCATTAATTTAAATTCCACTTAGAGATTCAGAGATTTGAGCAGGTCACAGGCAATGATCTGTGGCTTTCTCCAGGCTTTGACCTCTCTGTCTTCCTCACAAACCTGCACACGCACTGTACTTAACTCACATGATTTGACTTTTTCTCTTTAGTCCAGCAAGCACGTTATGAATTTTTATGTTTCTTTGTCCTTCTTGCCCCACCTTGTGTTGCTATGGCAAGCAGAAACAATCTTTGTTTTCCTATGGTGCTGTAATTCATGTGCGTATATTTTACTATTTTCAGTCACTTGTCTGAGCCACTCTAATTTCTGCCTTCAATCACATTTAATCACATCACACACTGCGCCCAGAGCAAAGTTTCCTGCCTGGTAACTACTGGTGCTGCAGTTATACCCCCTGCCAGGTTTAAAACAACAAACAAATGCAGGCTATAAGGGGCCAGTTGCACTTATGCTTTCTCTTTATGTACACACACACACACACACACACACACGCACACACACACACACGAACACATTCCTCTGACACACACACACACACACACACACACACACACACACACACACACATTCACACCCCTCACCTATACAGTCCAAGCATGCGCTCAGAGAAACAGAGATGCTTTCCAAAACAGCAAGAAGAGAAGAATTTCATGAAGGATGCCGAGTTTTTCAGCGATTGGTGACCAGTCATTCATGCTGTAATATGTGTTGGCGCGCTGCTTCTCTGGCTCAGCATATTCTTTGATGCTGCTCATCTCAAACACAAACTCTGTCTCTGCCAACAGACTTTATACTCTACTGTGGTCCTTGTTTTCTGTTCTCTCTCTAAACTGACCAGCCAGGTACCAGCCTTGGATTTCTCACAGAATAACACTGACATGATCAGCATTATCATACATATCAATCACGCAACAGATAAACTGATTTATTTAAAGAGACCAACCCAGCCCACTAACCCTCCAACAGTGACAGCTTTATTATAACTGGATGTCAACTGTAATAGATTTACATGTCATTTTACGGTGATATTACCATCTGATCACAGTGGAAAAACACTCTGTGCACACAACTTCTCAATTTTACAGTTTCTGCCCATTTTTGTTGCCTGAAGAGTTTTTTCATCTGTTTCAGATTGAGGACTGAGTTAAATGCATTTCCACCATAATGACTCTCATCTATAAGGACAATGAATCTAATGTCCAGATCTCACCTCTCACACAAAATCATGCATAAATCCCACAAGAAATTGATTTCACACTCCAGAATTTAATTAAACTGCAATCAAGGCCATCAGAGGATCACACACACACACACACACACACACACACACACACACACACACACACACACACACACACACACACACACACACACACACACACACACACACACAGAGTTTTATACTCACGTTCTGGTGTTTCTCGCTCTGTGATTTCATTGTAGTAGGTGTCAGCGTAGTTGACCTCGATATCATCCTCGTATGCGAGAAGCAGACACACACACACCGACAGCACACACGCTGCCTGGGGGAGCCTCCACCAAAACATGCTGCTGCTGCTGCTGGTTGAATGTGTGTGTGTGTGTGTCTGTGTGTGTGTGAAAGAGAGAGAGAGAGAGAGAGAGAACTGTGTATATGTGTGGTGAGTTTTAGGTACGCTCCTCTAACTACCTGCTTTCTCTGTCTGTGTGTGTGTGTGTGTGTGTTGTGAGAGGAGGTTGCAGTCAGGTTGTGAGTCAGGCTGTGTGTGTTTTGTTTGTCTCCGCTGCTTCTTCTCTGTCTGTCTCACTGTCTACAGCGCTGCAGGTCCACCACTCTCTATTTCAACCCTCACTCTCTCATACAGTATTTGTCCCTCCTCCCTAATGACTCCCCACCCCCCAACTCCTACCCCCCACCCCTCTCTCTCTCTCTGTCTTTCTCATTTTTTCTCGTTAAATGCTGAGCAATCCCTTGGCAGGAAGCCCGGCAGTGTGGAGTGCTCCAACCAGAGAGAGAAAGACACACATACACACACGCACACACACACAAACACACACACACACACACACACACACACACACACACACACACACGTGTTTGTATTACTATAAAGTACTTATGAAAACTTTCCACTGATTTCACTGTGTTTATCCATAATTTCTTAATCTGCAGAATTTTACCGTCAGCCCTGCATACTTATTCTAAACAAATCCACTTTATCACCGTTTCAGTTTTGTTTCTGTTGTGTTGTCCATCATTTCAGTGAGTCATGATAACTCATCATATTATCAAACCAAAACTTTATCTGAGGTAAACCCAGAAGTGAGTGAACTCAGCGAGGGAAATTTTCACCAAATTTTGTTATTATGAAATCATTTTCTCTCATGTTAATTTTGATGTTCCGCCAGTAAATATAAATTCCATAACCTGTGAGCCACGCATGTGTATATGAGAGAGAAGCTGGAAAATCCAAGCTCTTAGCTAAACTTAACTTACTCCACTTTGTCTTTGATACTTGTTAAGTTTAACCTTCAAACTCTGTGACAATAAAAAACAGTTATTACACAAAATGATAGACTCAAACACACAAGGGAATGTCTTTGGAGGAAATGAAGAAATGTGAAAAATTTCTCTAAACTTCCATCCTTGTGAAAACGCTCCTCCCAAGTTCAGAAATGTAAAGGCACCGCTCCATCTCCATCCTGTGAGCGAGGCGGTGAGTAATGCGTCGTTGGAGGTGCCCTGTATGTCGTAATCAGATACAACTGCAGCTCCTGCGACTCATGGAGCGAGAGGGAGGGAGGGAGAGGGGGTGGGGGGTGCTGGTAATGCAAGGGGGAGGACGTCGAGAACGAAAACTTTCCTGGTTTTTGCCCCATGCAGAGTGTGTGTGTGTGTGTGTGTGTGTGTGCGTGTGTGTGTGCATGCGTGTGTGCGCGTGTGTGTGTGTGTGCATGTGTGTTGAGGGAAGTTTGAATGGAACCCAGACGTCAGTTTCTAAATGGGTTTATTGTTCTCCTGCTTTGCTCTTTTTATTTATTTATTTGTCTGCCTCACAGTGTGTGTGTGTGTGTGTGTGTGTGTGTGTGTGTGTGTGTGTGTGTGTGTGTGTGTGTTATGCTGTAAGTGTGAGCTGCCTATATTTTGTGTATGCTTGTGTGTATACTTTCAGGGCAATGGAAATAATGACCTCTTCATGGGATTTTAGGATTTGCCCCCTCTCCTGCTCTCATCCCCGCTCCCCCACCCTGCATCTTTCTGTCTGCCTGTGTCTCTCTTTCATTGTGTCTGTTTTCTCTCTCTCAAATACCTACTGAAACACACACTTGTCCACTTGTTAACTGGGAGGAACAACCTTTTCATTCAGAAAGCCACAAAGAAAGAGAGAGGGAGTTGTGTGAGAAAAAAAGTTGCAAAAGCTGCTTCAGCAAGATCTTTATCACCACTTGATGGAACACAATATTGCTTTATTCTGTTGTGAGTTCACTAAAGCTTTTACATTGTGTTGAAGTTGCCACTTTCTTTTGCATGATTTCATCATCCTATGCACCTGTGTACTATAGGTCTGCACTGGATATTTGCTGCTGTCTGGTACAAAAGGTCCTTCTCAGTTCTAATACATTAGAAGTGCTGTGTTGTATGTTCAGTCCAGCTGCTGCAGTGATTTGATTCATGCAAGAGTCAGCATGAGCATCCACTGCTAACAGTCACTCACCAGGCAAGGGAAAAAAGCACCTCCACCAAGAACTAAATTATTATAATGTTATTATTTAAAGAGAAAGACGTTCAAGGAACTGACGGTTTGATTGACAAGTGATTGATTGGTGGAAGTCCTGCTTCAGCACCTCAGCAATGACACGACAGCAGCTAAAGTCTTGTTTTTTGCTGATTTGTGATTTACAAAAACCTGAATACAATGTAGAAAACAACAGTGGTATCAGATACCACACGAAAACAAGAAAAAAAATAAAGAACATGTAGTTGAACAACAACAACCAAGGACATTAAAAGCAACAACATAAAAGGTACAGCGCTGGAAAAAATTGTAGTTATGTATTAAAAAGAAGAAAGACAAAATATAGGAAGACTAACCCTAACCCTGCAACTAAATATACAGTATTGAATGTGAAAATCATTAATAGAGTAAGAGGTAAACAAATATTGTACTTTTAAAGACAGAAATTGAAAAAGACTCAACAAACGAACACAAGTGGATGTATGCACAATATGTGTGTGCATGTGTGTGTGGTGTAACTGTTTCCATGTTTTGACTCATGGCTGCCACCTGAGATATGGGAAATAAGCCAGCTGGAGCCACATCATACATGTTCCCCTGAACTCACATGCACACACACTGAAGAAATCACTTCAATATGTGTGCATGTACGATATGTACATTCACATCTATGTCTTCTTTTGTTTATGCTTTCTTGGATAAATGAGACTTATTCTGAAGAAATGTATAAGTTTCCAGGAAAGTGTGTTTTATTTGGACTTCAGTCTTTTTTTTTTTTAAACATTGCAGATTTAGGATCAAATGTTTAGTTACCTTGCAGGACTCCAAACCTTCATATATCAATGATTCATCAGAGAAATAGTTTGGCTCCATGCTTGAAAGAAGTTAAGAGAAATACACAAGTGAAAAGGTACCTTTATATTCTTACTCTCAACAAAGGTCACACAGATAAAACACATTTATACATCTACAGAATAAAATGTCATTCTATTTTACATTCAAATCATCCTGTTACACATGAATTGTATGTTGTTGAATTTGACCCTGCACTGACATTTCGGAGCACCAGGCCGCTGAACAAGAGTGATGCTTTTGCTGAAGTTCGTAGTGAAAGTCTTTGTTCAAGAAAAGAGTGAGATGAGTGAAAGAGAATTTTTCTGCATCAAAACATTTCCGTGCACAGCGTCGCATATGATTCTTTCCTATACTTAGCTGAGAGTTTTTTTTTTTAATGTTAAAACATGACTTTAGCTTTGTGGCATCAGTTTGGAAAAGATTTATAAGTCGTTTTTTAAATGCACTGACAAATGAACTACTTTGCTGTTTAAGTATGACTTATTGAAATGACTTCACACCGAGGGACGTACATGAGCACGCAGACAAGTTGGCCATGCTCCCAGTTGCACCTGATTTCTGCTGACTCAGCAGTTAGTGAAAGAAGGGCTGAGTAATGCGTCTGTTTGGGCCTCATCGTAATCATACAGTGTCTTGTTTTCTCTGACAACCATATGGGATGAAGAGGAGGTTCAAGTCAGAATGGACGTGTTGTGTTTCACACTCATACAGAGAGAGTCTGGAGGGTGAAGTTATGTAGGTGAAAGGGGAAGATGGTCATTGAGTTTAAACTTTGCAGGAGAGACTGTCTGTATGTATGTAGATCTATGAATTGGTGTACATCTGGCTGGCTGTCACGGTGTTTACTTTATGATTTAGATATAAAATATTTTTATGCATGACACATTTTGAGTCATGTGATGAAAATCCTGACATGCCTTTCTTTGCGCTCTGGTAACTGGATCCCATCCAAAGCTGGGCAGTCATGTTACATATGGGCCAGAATTCTTTATATTATTTCTAATGTGTTGAAGGGGGGTGGGGGTGGGGTGGGGTGGGGGGGTGGTAGTGGATTAGCTCATGCAACAAAAATCCACAGAAGCCCAAAGATATGGGCTTTCTGGGGAAGGTTTGTCTCCTTTGTCTTACATCTAGATTTGACAGTTTCTCCTCGCCCTCCCCCACCTGAGGTTACTCAAATTGCTTGATATATGACTTGTGGGACATACACACATGAAATGAGTGTTTGAAGCTACAGAAAACACGTTTAAGTCGTAAAAGCTCTCCAGAAACATCCCTCTGGATATCATTTGTGCTGATCTCTGCAGTTTTGTCCTGTACAATAACCTCCCTTGCATAGGAGTTCAAGGTTTAGGAGTTTCTTTTGGCAGGTTATGTACCTTGTTGGATTTGAAAGGAATGTTCCTGCATTTGTCCAAAAATTTATTTGATTAACTGAGAAAATGATTGGTAGATTGATAGTGATTGATCATCTAAAACAACTAATTGCTCCATAGCAACTATACGCTTTAACACTTGTAACCTATTAGCAAAGCCAACTAAATAAATGTGTTTGGGTATTTTTTGTTTGGTTGGATTAATGGAATATGCGTGTGCACCTTTAATTCAGATGTCAGAGAGGTTACTTTGACTTTGCTGCACTGGTCTCACTGCTGTTAGTGATACCTTTTACTTTATGGTTTTGTCATTGCTGTGTGTTACAGGGTTGTTTTACTGCAGCCATATGTACAGCAAAGAGACTGAAAATCATTCTCCCATGACTCAGACTGTTTCAGTGTCCTCTTAGGGCCTTTGTGGAAGTATTCTGTGCAGGCATTTTAATATAGAAGGGACAAAAAATGAATATTACTTTCAGATAGCCAATGGCTTTATTAAAGTCATTTTTTATTCAAAGTTAACTGTCTGAATTAGTTCATTATTGACCCACCTTTGGATTATAATGTGACATTTGGAAAAACTGCACACTAACAGAAAGCCATCGTGTCCTCATGTTCACAATAGTTTGACAGATCAGTCAGCAGATCAGTTTTTTTTTTTTCCTCTTGGAAAATGTCCGAGGAGCCTTTCAAAAATGTCGCCTTTGTGTGCTGAAGAACCAAAGGTCATTACAGGATATTTTACTGAGATTTGTAAGTCATGATGATGGGTTGGGTGTATGCAGGAATGAAGATATGAAGGTCAGATACTGTACACACACACACACACACACACACACACACACACCTAAACACACAGACAGAGTGTGTGTGTGTTTGTGTGTGTATGTGTGTGCGTGTGCACCTGAGGGTACATTATACATGCTGCTCAAACAGGTAAACTCTATAAATCCTCCTCCTCAGTGTGTTTCTGTGCAGACTTCAGTCTCCTCCTGCCTTTTAACATTCCTCTGAACAGACCAGTAAATGCTACAGCCTCAGCTTTGTGGTCATAACCAGCTCTCTTTTTCTGTACATCAACGGTGTCTGTCGCTTTTATGGTGATTTGTAGAGATGGGGGTGTGTACAGTATAATCTATGATTAAAGAGAAGAGGAGGAGACATAACAAGAGCCAGTGACCATCTTTTAAAGGTTTTTGTGCGCTCTTCTTCTTCCTTCTGCCTTTTGCACAGAACAGTACAGAACAGTCTGTCCTTTTTGCTTATCAGCTGCTCTTTTAGCAACCTGTGGTTAAGGTGATTTATAGCTGTGTGAAACCAGTTATTTAGGTGTCTGCTGTGAGATTTTATCAAATGACACAAGTACATCACGTTCAGTTCAAAAAATTTTATTCCAACTATTTGGAAACATCTTGGACCCGATGTCACAGTCAATGCAAAAGCAAGTTTGCTGTTATATACAACATATAAAACATTTCTGATACAGTATTGAGTTATTTAGCATGAATAAGTATGAGTGATAAAGTGAAAAATAAAGCAGTTTGAAAAGAAAGAAGTGAATTGGTCTTAGGACAGCAGGATATTGTGGAGGAATAAAGGAGTTTGGAGTAATTTAGCAAGATCCACTTTTTGCTGATACATTTTGATAGAAGTTGACTAAAAACACTAATTTACTCTCTTACAGTCTGATAGTCCACTTCTGAGTCCTGCTGTAGCATCTGGGCAGTCTCTCCAACATGAGTTAATCAAGTTTGTATAATCTAATTGAACTTGATCGTCACATGGGGCCCAACCTGAAATCATTTCAATGTCTTCATGTTTTTGCTTGATCTATGCTTATTCACTTTCCTGCCAATTTAAAATAAAAAGGCTCTGTAAATTACTGAGCTTTACAGCTGCTGGTAGGTGAATTTTTTGTACCTTCAGACAGACCCAGGCTAGCAATTTCCTCCGGTTTCCAATCTTTATGCTAAACTAAGCTATCTGGCTGCTGGTTTCATATTTACTGCACAGTGATGATCCATCTTCTTTTCCATCTTATGCTTTGCGAGACTTTCTGTCTTTCTGTCCTCGATACAGATACAGTAAAACATTATTGAAATAATGTACATTAACACCACATGTAATCTGTCCCATCTTTTAAACCCTGCAGCTTCTACGACATCAACTTTTATTCAATGCAACTTTTATAATTAGCTCATTAAAGTTACAATATCGCTTGTTGTCTGCTGTTTGTCGGACACAAAAGCCATTGTTTCAAATCTTGAAAACAAGATTTGAAAACAAGAGTCTTTGTTTAGCAATGTGAATCATTTAAAGATGTTTCATACGTGAGTCAAAGGCTGTTGGGTAATGCAGTGGGTTTTCTGGGCTGGGTGCTGATTTACAAACGCCTTTATGTCCAGTTATGCGTCATCACTGACTTTCTTTTTTCCTGCATCAGCATCACTGGAGGCATATTAACAACAAATTGCAAAAGTTTCATTTGATTGGGAATCTTGTGCATGTTTTCTAAGGAAATTGATAATTAAATAACATTAATGTTACAGTTACACCACAGACAGCTTAAGGGGAAATTCCAGTTTACAGCCTGGGTCTTATCTTTGCTTGATAGCAATAAAATTATAGCCACCAAGTTAATTGTTGAGATCTGAGATTGTGGCACTAGATGTCTGATCGAACAGAAAACATGAGCAGTCACACAGTCGTACAAGTTTCACAAAACCCAAGTTTAGCCAAACTTATTTGAAAGAAAATTATTACTCATACCATCAAGTAAAAGTTTTCAGCAGAACACAACTTCACACCCATCTACAAACATTTACTTACCTATGTATAATAGTTATGGGAATGAGGCAACCAGTTACTGTTAACACTTAAAAAGAAAGGAGGAAAATACAGTGTATTATGGTATATGAAAAAAAATTTAAACATAACTAAATACTGTGTCTTACACTGAGGCAGTGTCTGATTCTTACTTTGAAAGGGAAGAAAAAAATATGTTTAATATTTGTGAATTTTACAAGTAAATTGACATATGTCTCCACTTTGGGCACAGTTTGTTTTTTTTTCTCTGTCTAACTACTGTTTTTTCTTGTGAGTCGTGACCCTTGTCAACATTCAAATGGTGGGCTCCAAGTTTGTTTTTTAAATGTGTCTTTGTGCAGTTTTGAATTTGATTTAAACATGGAGCTTATTGAAAACATCTCGGCCTCTCTCTCTCTTTTGGCAGGTAACCACATGCTGTTGCGGGTGTTGCCATCAGTCTACCCCAGACAACCAGAAACCATCCACCGTCACCTAGGCAACCTCACAGCAATGATGTCCCAGCTGGAGTCCCCAGAGCAACAACACCTGATCAGGCTCATTCAGATGGTTGCAGAACAACATCCTCTTGTGAGTGTTTTGTGTTAGAAATAAAGCAAAATGTGCCGTGGGTCAATCAAACTAATAACTTTCACATCTGCAGACTGTGTTATTTTTTTATAACCACATGGGCTAAAGTGAATTATCCCATTTATAATGCTATCACTTTGCCAGCTAACTACAAGCCATATTTTGTCATATTTTTAAAAAACCTTTCACCTAAAATGAGTAACCTTCCAGCTGTATTATACAGTGTACCATTATTTAAAATGATAATGAGGCTATTCAAATGCAGCAGAACTATGTGGTCATCTGAACATAACAAACTGTTCAACTAAATCAGAACTGAGCATCTGTGGTGATGGCATAAATCTCTATTTAACTTGACTTTGGGTTCCAGCAAACTACATGTGTGGCTTTTTTTTTTTAACATTTCTGCCTCTGACTCGAGCTTAATTAGACCTTTTACCGTCCAACTTTTCTATATCCTGCAATGAGCTAGTGTCGACATGTAGAAGAGAACCCACTGAAGCATAGTTAGAAGTGAGGAAATGCATCAGTGAACGTGGGCTACACGTTTCTCAGCAGGAATTCCCTTAATCCTGCGTATTTTGGAGCAGAGCTGCTGATGTTCAACACGAGGGGAAAGTACCACATACCAGCAAACACACAGCACATGGTGGTAAAAGATGGATAGTCTCACTCACATGTTAAGCACTGGAGAACGAAAACCAGCCATCTGGAGTTATTCTAATCTCTACCCCCCCTAACGCAGACACACAAAATATTTCTCTTGTGATTGTAGCCGCATTCATTACAGCACTTCCCAAATCTCCTAATATTCATTTACTGGAAGCAATGTGGTACTGAAGAAATAAGAAATGACAAAGATATGTAACTGTAATATTACATAACTTTAATTTTTCGTTGGTCAAACATCGTCTTCGTGAGGAACAGATACTGTGTGATATTAACATGATTATTCAGAACAAGTGACTCATAAAGTCGCAGCAGGGGGGGCTGTAATGGTGGGCATTGTTAGTCTGATCCAGTGCAGTCCAGTGTGACCAGTACAGATAATGAGGAGGAACTGTTCATTCACTCAGTTTTTCCACAGTCCTACAGTCAAGCTTTTGTTTATCATTAGTCACCAGGCTCTTCATCTCGCTCCAAGGTCAGTCCTCTCACCTCCAGCCTTCATTAAAGACACATCAGGCCTCTGTTTGGTGGTGTCGGTGCCCAAAAAGTGACAGAATTTCTTACCGTTATCATTAAAAATGATAAATCATGCTTTATTTTTATTTCCCATGCAGATGTTAAGCCCTCAGGTCCCTGCGTTGGTTGGTTACCTAGGTGACCAGTCTCTTACTGAGGCCCTGCTGGGCGCACTCGTAGACGTGTCACAGGCCAGCCCTTCCTCGCTGGTCAGCTTCCTGCCAACGCTGAGGGTTGTGGGACAGCAATGCCCTGCTCTCCTGGGTCATGTGGCCAAAATCCACGGCGCTGTCGGGATCATCAGTGAGGTACAAACCACACCACAGTGAGAACACACACACACACACTGACAAGTTTGCATTGGTTTGCAGCAGCTGTTTGCCGTTGATACAGAGAGTGAAAGTATGTGTTTCAAACTGAACGCCAAGCAGGTTTAATAGGCAGCGTGACTGCAAACAAATGGATAGACTCGAGTGAATGCAAACAGACGTCGGTTCTTTTTAGGAAGCTGACACGTCTGCACAAGCTGGAAATGGTTAAACTTAAACTTTCGCTATTCTTTCCAAGCTCCAATTAAGAAATGTGAAGAGACAAGAGGGAAAACAGTGAGGAGTTTCTCAAAATCAGTCCAACTCTGACCTGCTCAGCCGTCACACAGTTTTACATACACAGTTGATTGTGCAGTAAATGTCTATATCATCGGTGCAATGGCTAAGAAAGGACAGGCTACGAAAGCATTGATATTCATGTAAAAATCTCTGCTGTTAATGCACCTTAGGTCTGTCTGACCGTGGGTATTCACACAGACGCAGGCACACACACACGCACACTGAAACAGGCAGGAGTGATTATTTTAATGAGTATGGAGGAATGGGCTGCAATCTCACATGACTTGTTCTCTGTTGTCCTGCCAAGTATAAAACCCACACTCTCACACCGGACAGGCCGGGCAAATCCGGAGGTTTTGACTGCTGTCTAACACCTACATCAGTGTTCGGTGGAAGCGTCTCTCCTAAACAAACACATGCGGCGTCCTCAGAGGAGAGAGAAACCGCTGCCCCGGTGGGAGGAAAAAAAGATCTCATTTGAGAGAATATTCAAGCAGCAGAATTTTAGCTGTAGCCTAATGGAGCAGCCATAACACAATTTAAGGGAACATTAACCTCGGGAAAGGTACTTTGTTCCACTTCTGCTGACAAAGGGAGAACCAAAAAATGAATAACAGCAGTTTAGCTGCATATGTATGAAAATGCTGTTTTAAATTGTGCAGTATAAATTGTGTATTATAAGGATGTTACGTGAATCCATCAGGTGAGTTTCAGAATGTGCTATTATGTGTTATTCACCCGCACTCTGTCCATTACTATAGGTGCATAAAGTTTTTTTTAATTTGCACTAATCTGATGAAGGAAAGGCTTTTATATCTCAGAATACTACTTATGGCCACAACTCCTACTAGTACTGCTAATACAGTATCTACACTATGTGGAAGATTAAGGATATCAAAATTTGTTTCAAAGGGGGCTAAATGTGTCCCATAAGCCTCATTTGGGCCAACCCATGGTTAAATACTTGGCTGTCCTGCAGACTTGGCTGCTCGTTTGCTCCCTAATAGTACTTCTCTTGAGACAAAAGTGTTGTTTCAGCCATGACCGACTGTGACCGGAGCCCTATGCTAAAACACTCGAGCTGCTCATTACAGGTTAATTAGCCTGACGAACTGCAAGGTGGCACTGCCTCCGACTGATGGGGACGTTATTCAGAAAGACACGTGCACACAGAGGCTTAGTCATTAAGTCTTGTCTTATTAGCTGTCTGACTCTGTTTCTCTGAGAGGGAAAAAAAAAACTGAACCAAGTCCACACTCATTTTTAGACACTAAGTCGGTTAGTCAGCCTGCCACTTCAGTGCAGACTGAAATATTTCAACAGCCCTTTGATGAATTGCCATGAAATTTTGCACAGACATTCATGGTGCTCAGATGATGAATCCTAATGCTTTGGCGATCATCTGACTTTTTCTCTAGCACCACCAGCTGGTGAAGCATCTTTAATTCTGCAGTGTGGTGTAGGACTACTTTTCAGGTTGACGTTTGTGGTTTTCAGTGAAATGTCTTGACAGTTAATGGATGTATTACCATAAATTTCACTACAGACATCCATGCCCCTCTCAGGATGGGTTGTAAAAACTTTGGTGATCCTCTGACTTTTCATCTAGTGCTATAATGACCAAACACCTGCAAAACTAATGACATTTCAATAGCCTCAGCTGTACATTGTGTTTAGTGCTAATTAGAAAATATAAAAATGCTAACATGCTAAACCAAGATAGTAAAAAAAATTGAAACACTAGCATGTTAGCACTGTCAGTATGAGCATGGCAGAATTATAACATTAGCTTTAAACTCAAACGTCCACTGTGTGTTGGTACAGTCTCACAGAGCTGCTAGCATTAGCTGTAGACTCTAATGTTCTCAATTTGCAGAATTCCATACTCACACTTGCTATTTAATAAGTGAGTTCACATTGACAACTATGGCAACATGCAGTGCACTGTAAGTACCCGTACGGTGTCTCAAAACACACACAAAAATTGAGTGTAAAATGATTGACGCTTCTCATCCTCAACAATCGCCATCTTGGCTATGTAGCGGAAGGGGAGGGAACACCAACATATTTTCAAACTTGTGAAAACGGCGACTGGCATGTCGCCGGCGCAGATGGCAGCTTAATTCCCATGTTGTATATGACACGGAAAAGTAAAACAATCATGTTCAAGTCGAGCAGCCAGGTGACAGTTGCGGTCACATGTTGCGATCGTCATGAGTGCACAACGACTTTGATTTGTACTGCATGGGAGTGTACTGTCAGAAGTATCCAATTTGAGACACAGCATTAGTCTTGTTCATCTGAGGATTTTAAATTAAAACTCCTAATTCCTTTGTTTATATTATCTTTCTTTCCCATCTGAAAGTGGTTCTGAAGAAATCCTTTTGTTGGCCATGCTTGAAAAAACTTGAAAAAAAGAGTCTGTGTTACATAGCAACACAGTAAACGCTTGCAAAGCTAAAAGGGCAGAAGACTTGGAGTCAATGATGATACAAGACATACACCAGACAGTGTAGAGTGCGTGCATCACAGCATCTGCACCCTCATCGGGTCAGCATCCCTGGCATATGAGAATAGTGCATGAGATAGATCTGGTAACTTGTGTTGTGCAGATGGTTGTCCATGCAGCCCTTATAATGACAGGTAGGATGAAGTCACAGATTACAGTCACTCTGAAATGGGTGTGTGCAGAGTAATGAAGGTGACAGCAGGACAGGGTGAGGGTTCCCACTCTCTCTTTACCTCTGGGTCCATTTAAGGCAGTTTAACGACAATTTGGGGAAATTAACGGAAATGGGAAAATACATCACGACAGCCTCTAGATGACGTGCACCCCGTCCACACGTGCATGTACACACACATATACACAGATACTGTAGATAGACACACACACAGAAATCATGGAGCTGGAAACCATAATAAAGTTCTCTATTACTCCAGAGCAACCTTTCCTCCAAAAGCTCCCTTCCTCCTCAATCTTCTTGTCAAAAAACCTGCCAGCCCAACTGCAGCACACACACAAATACACACACATACTCATGCACACGCACACACACAGTTGGTCGGACCTCAGTGTCCTGTCTTTCTTCACATTGGAACCATTTGGAAAATAACCCACGTTTTTCTGGGAAATGCCTCTGCAGAGGCCCCCTGGCGATGGCAGTGGAGAGTGCCTCCTGTGGGCTCGTGTTTGTGCCCTACACGCACACACACGCACACACATGCACATATTCTCACTGAGATGCATTTGTACTTGACTCTAACCGGATTGCACAACACACTCTCTTTGGCTTCCTTTACCTCCCGATGGGAGTTGGTCTATATTATGTTTCTGAGCTTATTGCTTGTTAGATCACAATATATCACAATTTTCATCAAAGATCTCTGAGTGAAAGGAACCCCTGTACACTGTATAATGCTGTCCAGTCCATCTGTCGTGTATAGGAAATATTCCTCTGATAAAGTTAACTATTTTTATTTGCGTGTGGATCCACCTCTAGGGTAATTTTCGAGGCTGTGGTTAGTGGTGATCATGAATTGCTTTGGATTTGGAAGTCTATCTCATATTTTTTATTCTGTATTTTCTCTATGTTAACATCAAAACACCTTTCAGTACCAACCAGCAAAATCACCATCAAGTTTACAAGCCAAAATAAAAGTTACACAAATACCTTTATATAGAAATGATTTTAAACAACATTTGTCAACCTTTGGCTCACAAGATAGATCTAAGTGATCCACAAGTTAGAAAAGATAAGGAGGAGGGGAAAAAAATAATTAAATTAGTTTATTTTTTTAGATATGTCTCTTGTCTATGATATTTTCCTCTGCAATGCCACATAATTTTATTTCTTCAGGCCTATAAAACCTATTGAGAGGGTCAAATGACAGAATATGCCAAGCAGCAGTGATTTCAACATGTCAACGCCAGTAGTGGTCATCTCTCTTGAAATTTTTTTTTTTTCTTATTTGCAAATTGTCCTTAAATCCCTTGGTAAATCTCTACAGTGTAGACACTTGTACACATCAGTCTGTATGTTTTAAGTATAGGGCATACAGGATGGTGGTAATGATACACGAACTGTATTATCTGAAATGAAGGATACTACTGCTGCTCTCTGGGAAAGAAAATACATTCAGTACCTCTATGGGCCTTCTTATGGAGGGAGTTGGTGGTTTAGTAGCAGATTGCCGCTCCAAAGGGAGTAGAGAGATCAGTGTGCTGATGGACAATCAGGGGAAACTAAGCGACCGAGCAAACAAGGAAAGAAAGATGAAAAAAAAAGCAGGTCATTGTGCAGAGAGAGGATTTGGCTTGTCACTGGACCAGTGCAGTGTTTTCCTTTGTTTTTCTTCTTTAAAGTCTGAATCATCCAACATTCAAATGAAGATATCACTAACACATACGCATATGTACTACTGCCAGAGGATTTTGGCCCCCATGGTTGTAGGAGTTATGATAATGGAGTGATGGAAATGAATGAGCCCAAGTTGTGTCTTTCTCGGAGGATGTGTTTATGTGTGTGAGTATGTGTGTATTTGTGCAAGCATGAGGCAGAAAGAACTGATCTCTTTCTCCAGATCCGTATCTGTCCTGTCAGATTGGCACCTTGGGGGAGTATCAGCTCCTCTGCCATCATTTTTTGGAAAATATGGAAACTCATAATTAAAAGTAAACAGTTTGTAGTTAGTTTGTAGATTTTACATTTGCTTTCTAGTCATGAGTCAAACCAATGATTTTGATTAGGACATCAAATCAAGGCCAAGTCACTTTTCCAGACAATTTAAACACGATCTGTGACATTCAGTGATTAAGGAGGCGTTCATGACCTGGCAGGCTTTTGATAATATCACAGTAAAATGTGTCTCTTGCAAACTGTAAATGATGCAAGTTCTGTTTATGCTGTAATGTTTGGAAGTATTGTGGTGAGTCCTTAAAAAGTGAAATCATCTCGACAATAAAAGCGGGAACTGTGGGGCAGAGGTAGCACGAATCTTAGTGAAGTCTTTGTACCTGCGGCCTGCGCTCAAGGCACGCTCCTGTTTCATTTTTGTGTTGGAGCTCAGAAACTCCTAAATGCTTGCTTGGCATTTTATTACAGTATAAGGTCAAGTTCTACCTTCTCTGGCAGTTTTAGCATCCACATATAAATTTAGTATCCTACAGAGAGAGCTTGTGAAACATGCCCAAACTGTGCAGTAACTGCATTCTTCTCTCCTCGTTACAAGGTGTGCTTGAGCTCTGCGAGCACAGGTTGGCTCTGTCCGTCTTTCTGTCCCTCCATCAATCACTCACAGTTTGTCTCTCAGTCAGAGGAGGAGACGGGGGTACTTTAAAGCTCTCATTTTTTTAGCCCAAGTTTTTACAAGCTTAGAGACTTAAGTTTGAAAAAATCCTGGTTTTGTTTTTGTCCACACATGGGGGGTTTATTTGGCTTCAGTTCTGCCCTAAAACACTGCAAGAGAGCTGTTACTGAATCATGTCACCTTTGTTCATCTGTTATCACAATGGTTTTTGTGTTGACTGTTTTACACCCATTGAAGTCATGACTGTTTTTTGTTAATAATGGACCAGGATCCAATATGGGCAAGGTTATAACCCTGCAGTTTAAATAGTGATTAAGTGAAAGTACATGCTGTATTTACATGACTATATTAGTTATGATTATTGCCTATGACAGAAACCAGAACCTATAAAAAAGAGGTTTGACTCTTCCTGGGAGAGGACAACAAACATCGTCAAGAGAATGTTGCTGCATATTATTCTGTGTCAAAGCTGAGCAGGTTGTATATGTTCGTATACAGTTTATACAAAAAGCAGGATGAGAATGATGAAAAGTGTGTGTGTGTGTGTGTGTGTGCGTGTGTGTGTGTGTGTGCGTGCGTGTGTGTGTAATGCAATTGGGAAAAGAAGAAGTTTATATTCTCTTAGTCTCTTAGAGCCAACTGCATGTTATTGTATTTATTATTGTTTGTCACGATTTATTGTTGTTTGTCATGACACCATGCCAGCGCCAGCATGGATCACAACACAAGATATTATGATTATAATGTCTCTCTCTCTCTCCCTCTCTCTCTCTCTCTGCGTTGTCTCCTTTCTCCTGACTCACGCTCACAGCTCGTTGGTCTACCTGGTGTCCCTTCTGGGCAGCATGGAGCACAGCTTCCACCACACGCTGCTGCTGGAGATCAGAGCTCTCACTGACCGTTACCCGTCTGTACTTGGAGGCTGCGGGAAAGACATCTACAGGATGAGCAACTCTTTTACGGCTATGGCCAGGCTGTTGGGCGGACGGCTGGAGGAGAGCATGGCCACGCGCTGCAGGTTGGGAGAGTCATGCTAACATAGACTTACAGGTGTTTTTATCCACCTATATACTATTCCATGAAACACATTTGATCCATAGAGCCACAGCCACCACTATGGGCTCAGCTGACTGGTGTTGGGGGCACCTCACAGTATGATTTGCTCTCAGTGTGTGCTCTCAGTTGCTTAATTTGTGCCTGTGTAGTGTTTGGATTTCACAATACGAATAATAGTGACTCAGGCTTAATACATTGAATCTGTCATGAAGAAATATCCATAAACAGAAATGAATTGATGTTTCTGGGAATCCGCAATTGTTTCCCATTCAGAACAAAGAACTTGAATTGGGATGTTTAAGTGAACACTTTGCGTTTTGTACACATATTGCAACAAACTGCTGCAGACCCCTAGAGATTCATTAGCAAATCATTAACAAACGTTCTTGGTCATATTTTTATTGGTTCTTGTGTAAGCCCTAATGTATGATTGCTGAATTTTTCTCAGTGTAGATGAAGCACATTGCATAATTATCGAGTAAAAGAAAACATTTATTTGCATGTCACAGAGAGTAGTCAAGAGTTTTGAAACTTGCTCAAATCCAATACACATATTAAGCCCACACATTAAACTGATTTGTGTTACTAAAACCTCTGGGCTGTTATTATTTATAGACAATTAAAATGTTTTCTTCTTAATTCTCCATATCCGATTCTGTCCTCCAGTGACTTCTTTTATACATAATTGCTATTTGCAGGAAATGAAACGTGCTTCAAAATGCAAGCACATCATTTTGTGTGTGTATGTGTTTGTGTGTTTGCGTGTTAATGTGCATAAGTTGACTGGGATTCATCTGGCTACAGTGTGGGAGTGACACATGCAGCTCTCTTCGAAATAAGAACATTGTGTTCAGGATTGGAGGCTTCCAAACGCTTTGCTTGGGGTCTTCTGGACGAAAGATAGAGGGAATGAGGGGTTGAGAGAGGCAGGATTGTTTATTAGTGACAGAGCAGGGGGTGAAGACAGAAGGAAAACAACAATGGGACAGTTGGAAGTCCTCTGTCAGCAAACAAGTGGAACGTTTGATGAAGGCCACATGTGGAAAAATGAAATAGGGACAGGAAGAGGTTGTCAGCAGAAGAGAAGGGAGAAGGTGAGATTTAGCTTGCAAGAGAGGGAGGTGGGGGGAAACAGTGGGTGAAAGACACAGGCATAGAGCCAGTTGTCATGAGAAAGTGAGAATGACAGAAAAGCTAAGCAGAATGGCAGGAACGGGGGGAGGTGAGGCTGCTGAAATCCATCCAAATGTGTCTGTCCGGCTTCATCTCACGTGCCTACCTCCTGCCATCCAACCGTTTGCCCCTGTGTCTGTGTTTGTGTGCTACAGGGCGGACGAGGCGTGCCCGCCATCTCCCCGTGCATCTCTTCCAGGGGGAGGAAAAGGAGGAGGTGGGGGAGGAGGAGGAGGAGGGTCGGACGCGTTCGAGGAGAAAATGGGAGTAGAGACGGGAGAGGAGGAGGTGGAGGAGGTGGAGGAGGACTCTCCTGCCTCCCTGCGATGCTACAGCCTGAGCCAAGCCGTCAGGGAGGAGAAACGAGACATGAGATTCAACAGGTCGGTTTGTTCGTTACATTGACATGGCCCTGACTGAGAATCTGCTTCTATCTGACTGACTCATAAACATTTCATTTTATGTAGGATTGTTATCACTGACACATGTGTAGTCCAGATGATTCCATTGATTTCATATCAAATTAACCAGAGATCCCTTGAGCCAAGAAGACTTTACTCTGTGTCTCTGGTTATGGTCAAGCCTGTCTAAAGAAACGTAACTGAACAAATTAACCATAAATTTAAAGGTATGATGGAGTGATTGCTTAACAAGAACATAAACAATGGTGAAGAGGTAAAGACAGCTGTGTTTTTACAACACACACTGGTTACAAACTTTCAGTATCTCTATTAAAAACATGCTTATGACCACAGTTCTCCTGCCATTTTCTGTTTCATATTCTTTTGTTAATTGTTAGAAAATGACTGTCAATAATATCCCCTCATAGCTTTTTGCTTCAGTGCTTTCCCCGCAGAGCCCTGGAGCCAAACCAACCCTTTCCTGCAAGGTGTCAAAAACACACAAATCTCAGTGTGGAGGAAGCAGACAGTCTTTGAATTGTCCAGATCCTTCAGTGCTGTAGGACTAACTAACTGTTTTATTTCTCTTTCAGGTCAAAGAGCTTGGCTCTCCACGCTGTGCGCTCACGCTCCATCAACTCAGACACCGGGGAGGACGGTGACGGAGTGGAGCTAAGTCCAGACAACATCTCGTCCAACAAGACTTTGCCTAATCGGCACTCAGAAAACCAGGAAGCACCACCTACAGACAGGAAACCGACCGGTGACGGCCCCCTGCCCATCACCGCTGCCCCGGACAGAGGGGTCAAAGAGGCAGAGAGAGGTGAAAGCAGAGAGAAGGATGGAGAGAAACAGGAGCAGGGCGAAGCTGACAGACTCTTCATCCATTTAAGAGACAATATGGAGACAATCAGAGAGTTCTGTAAAGACATGGTGCAGCAGATCCCCACACCAGAGCAGTGTGTGATAGAAGGTAATATGAACAGCTTTGTCAGTTCATGTGTTCTTTGAGAGCAGCACTAAAAATCATTTGATGACAGTGTTATTGGTTTATGCAGTAAACACAGAGAGGTAAGTACACAGAGAGAGGCAGTTTGTGTAACCTGCTGAACCTGAATGAGATTACAGTCAGATGTGGCGGCTGGGGTTGATTAATGATGCAGCATCATGAATAAACCTCCTCTTCTCCTGCCTCCCTCCCACTTTAACTCACTATCCCACAGACACACACAAGCTGATGCAGCCTGTCACAGCAGTCAGTAGTCAGTCAATTGATAAGTTTTTCTTAAGCTCCAATCGGACAGAGATTTATTTCTCCTAAGGGAGTATTTTGATTCTAATATTGTCTGTGCTGATCAGTGACTTTAATCCTATCCCATCGGGTATATGTGTGGGATTTTTCTCCTCCTACCACAGTATTAGTTATAGTCCTGAATACCTGTTGCATTGCAGAGACACCTTACAATGTACAGTATATTCCTGTATCCCTGACTTTTTGTGTGCTTTTTACATTGCATGCTGGTGAAGAGGATTGTGTGATTTTCCTGCTGAACATCTTACAGTTACTAAATACATAACTACAGTTATGACCCAAACAACAGCAGTTTAATTTCTGAAGAGCACAGCTTTGTTTTTTTACGTTTTGCATTTATTTTTAACTCCCCCAGGATTGTTAGTCCTTAATACAGCCTTAGATGGAGTCTTTGATGTTAAAGGCCAGATGGGAATGATTATTGTTAATACATTCAAACAGAGGAGCACACACACATGCACACACACAAACAAGGCACAATACTTTTCTTACTGCAATACTTTATGTCCCCCACTGACCCCATCCACGGGTTTACATGCTATGAAAAAAACAAACACAATGCATGAGAACTTTTCTTACTGTCAACACATCCAGTGAAAACACCAAGAGGAACAATATCGACTCCACTATTTTCTGATTTCCTTACCCTGTCCGTGACTCTCAGTCCCAAGCTCATCTGTTCCCACTAAGGAAGTAAATATTTAAAAGTATAAGTCACATTTTTAAACAAAAAATGTCAAATAACTTAATTTAACATCTTTGCAGTGTACTTTTTAACAAATGTGACTCAAATGGGAGTAAATGGTCTTTCAGCTGCGGATTTGGTTAGATAGCAAGTATTTCTGGCAGCAGGACAGTGTATTTGGGATCAACTCGATATGAACTATCGCTCATGTAATGGTGCAGCTCACTATTGTGTTTTATAGTTTACAGTTTATAGTTTTTTGACAGGTTAATCCTGGTTCTGCTCGAGGTTTCTGCCTCTTAAAAGGAAGTTTTTCCTCACCACTGTCGCCAGCTGCTTGCTCATGGTGGGAATTGTTGGGTCTCTGTAATCAGTGTTATAAAGACTAAAGTCTAGACCCACTCTGTTTGAAAAGTGCCTTGAGATAACTTCTGTTGTTATTTAGAACTATATAAATAAAAATGTAATTGAAGTTGTTGGAGCTCTATGGCACAGAGAAATAAGCTATATCGGGCTGTTTTAGACTTTTCATAGGATCTAATTCAGCTCCAGACCCCAAATTGACTTGTACTTCTTCTTAATCTGGAGTGAAAGAATGCACTGTAACGTAAAGACTGTGAGCCAGACCCTGTGGGGCACTGTCATGGAGCTAGATTGTTAATGGAAAAATTAATCAAGGTATAGAGGCAAAGATTTGTTTTGAGGTGGGCAGGGTCGTTGTATTCAGTTACATCTATACAACATAGTCAGGTTTAAGTAGAAACAGATGAATGTTGTGCATACATGTGTAGTATCCATGAAGTATATACGGACGGGTGACAAATTAAAATGGAGAAACTGAATGACAAAGCCCCCATCCACAGGGCACGAGGGGTCACTGAGTGGTTTGATGGGTATGGAAACGATGTGAATCATATGCTGTGGCCTTCACAGTCACCAGATCCCAACCCAACTGAACACCTAAGGGAGATCTTGGACAGACAAGGGGTCAAGCAGTTCATTTGCAAAACTATGAAATGAAAACCCTCTTACGTCTCCAAACTAATCTAATCCATTTTCTAAAACTTTGTAATCCGTTTTTGTGTTTCCCCTCTGAATCTTCTCATACTCAAGGATTTGATATTTTATTTTCATTCATGTTTAATGATTTCTGCTTATTTTCCATTTCTCGTTTTGATTTGCTTCACTTGAGTTAAGACTTCATTGCCATCTCTAAGCAGCGCCTGTCAGCACCTTCCCCATATTGAATCAGATTTTTTGTTTTACTTGATCCAACTCCTCCCAAACTGATGGATAATTTTGTTTTCTACATTGTATATGTATAGATACATCAAACAGACACATTTAGACATAAAATACATTAAGCTGGGCAACAAGAACTCTGTTGAACACACTTGTTGTTTATGTGCAGGTGTTCACAAGAGCAAATTCAACAATACACAATTGAGCACACTGTAAATAACACACTCATAAATATGCAATCGGACAGTACATTCCTCTCTGTAGTCCTTTGAGCCATCTGCAGTAGTGAGCTCCACCTGTATTCTTTTGAACATATTAAGAACAGACAAAGATCACACACGCACACGCACACACACATGTAGGCACACAGCACCAGGTTAAAACATGACATGACTCGTGTGTGTGAGAGGTGATGATATTTTGATTGACAGGTGGGGATGTTGTTGCCTCGCCTTTGGCCTTAATGTCATTTTAACTGAGAGGCAGCCAGGAGTCATATGGCAAAAACACACATACATTTACGCACACGTATGCACACACTCAAAACAGGAAACAAGACAAAAAAAATAACAAACTCCACCTTTGGCCTCACACATGAACACATGCTCCATTTCTCATCCCATAATTGGTGCTTTGCATTAGCTCTCTTAGTATTAATTCTCTTAATGACAATCAACCCTGAGGCACTTAGGATATGATGTCACAGGGGGTCTCAGCTGGATGATGTCATCATGCTGCTGGCTGACCTACAGATGAGCTGCTGACCCGCTGCCTCGGTGGACCAGGATTACACAGAAGAGTGCACATGAACATTTCTGCTCTGTCCAAACAGCTACACACACACACACACACACACACACACACATACACACATACACACACACACACACACACACACACATACACATACACATACACATACACACACAGATGTTGACACAAAAAACAAACAGCGTCACCACCTATCAGATACAAACAACTTACATATTAATTGAGATAATTTTGTTTTTTTTTAGACATCTGTTCACTGCCTCCATGCAATGCAGTGAACAGATGAGGAAGGTACAGATCTGTTATATAATGTGTTATCGAAGCCGGAGAATTCTTTGACATGTAAGACTGTTTTTGCAGAATAACAAATGAAGGTTAAGCTTTGCTATAAATCACTTTGAAACACACCAATCACCTGAAGCGTAGATGGTTTCACTTTGTCATTAAAATTTGTAGCAGTTATTCAACATAGTCAGAGAGTTTTTATAATTATCTGAGTAGAGAGTGAGTGTCAGGTTAAGGGAATAATTTGATTCGTTTCTGTATATGGCTCGACCACATCGTAGGCAATTTGCATTTTGTCTAGTGTCAGGTGCTGTTTGTAGCACTCGCCCTGCTGTTACGTTCCATCCAAAAATATCTAATCATTTCTTTAAAAGACTGTTTCACGTAATCTATTTTTAAATCTCCTTATTCTTTTATTTTTGTACATGACATAAGATAATAAAGAAAATAGAAATGAAATACTAAAATGAAAAAAGTAAACCATTATTTTACTTCGATCACCATTCTGATGTAGAAGCTGTTTTCACACAGAAACCGTTGAGTGGTTTCTTCTCCTTGGTGGAGAGGTGGAGGTTTGTGGGAGGTGGTGGTGGGAGGAGAGGACGTTTTCTGATGATTACAAGATACACTGTCCTTGCATGCTACGAATCACTCTGTAGATATGTTCCCATGGTTGCACAATTCCATATGTGCAAGAGACACAGAGAAACATGCACAGAGAGCTAATTAGTGGTTGAGCTTGTGAATTCCAGTTCAGCTGTGCAACTAGTAAAAATGAATAGCTTTATCAGTTTCACTCTTTTGTGTGTGTGTGGTTGTGTGGCTGTGTGTTGTGTGTTATGTGTGTGTGTGTGTGTGTGTGTGTGTGTGTGTGTGTGTGTGTGTGTGACAGATTCAAATCGAGGCTGTGTGGCCAAGCTCTCGTTCTCTTGTCCACTGAAGGGCCACTACTGCCTGTACGCCAAGTCCTGCTTCAACCTGAGCAGCCGACAGCCTCACCTTTGGATTCACATCATGCTGCTGCAACTACAGGTGCACCCAGATATTCATATATAAAACACCTTTTTAAGACTATCTAACTTTTCATTTTATTGAATTACATCTTTGAATGTAGTTTGGAAGAGTTCCCACTAACAATTTTGACAGGAGCAAATATGAGCTTGAAATATGTTTGTTCAAAAACTCTCGTATGTGAAAATATTGAAAAGTGTCCTTGAATGTAAAAAGAGGTTGCATCTGTTGTATGTAAAACAAGACCAGCTTTGTTTGACAACCTTTTTTTTCTCTGTCTTGCCCACATCTCTCCCTGTACTCTCTCCTGATCATATTTATGTTTTGTCTTAATTTTTTTGTTTTCCTCCTCAACCAGAGTAAGTCCAGTGTCCCTCTGTGCTCCAGGGACGAGTGTGTCCAGAGACTGGCTTCCCTTTGGGAGAAGACTCAGCTAAAAGGAGCTCACAGTTTTCCCATGGCTATGACACAGCACGTCACCCCACACAGGAAGGTACTGGTCCACTGTGTGTGTGTGTATACTGTATGTTTGTGTCTTGGTATGTATGTGTGCGCACATGCTGCTTCCTCTTAAAAGCTATCTTTCTCCAGCAGAGAGGATGAAGTCATCGGTAGTGAAAAAAGAGAAACTCCAAGATAATTAAGTGTCAAAGTTCAACATCCACTTTGTTTAAATATGGAACGCACTAAATGGACATTTTTGTATACAAGGCCTCCGCTCACCCTGACTCCTCTTTATCATGTCTCTATTGTGTGTGTGTGGTGTGTGTGTGTGTGTGTGTGTGTTGTGTGTGTGGTTGTGTTGTGTGTGTGTGTGGTGTGTTGTGTGTGTGTGTGTGTGTGTGTGTGTGTGTGTGTGTGTGTGTGTGTGTGTGTGTGTGTGTGTGTGGTGTGTGTGTGTGGGTGGGTGGGTGGGTGGGTGTGTGTGTGTGAAAGATTGAGTGAAAGAGAGAAAGCTTTACTGAAGCAGTGTGTGTGTGTGGGTGGGTGTGTGTTCATGTGGACACACGTGCCTATTTCAGTGTCTGTTTTTGTAAGTAGGTGGATGTGGGTGGTGTTCCTCGTGCTGTCCCTTCATAATGTGACTAGCTAAGTGGTCGTTAGGAAATAATTGGAACCCCCAAAGAAAATACAGCTGTCGTTTGTCTTTCTCTGAATGTGTGTTGTGGCTGCAATGAGATGAACCAGCTATGGTTACCATATGGGGCCCTGAGCATACCAACACATACATGCATACACAGATTCAGTCTCATTCACATAAAACCAAACACATATGCAGTTCATGTAGAGGTCTACTGTTTCAATCCCTCTCTCTGACATATATACACACATGCTTAAAGGGGCTATTTGGAAGTTTTCTCTGAAGCTGAATGTGGTTTCTTACTTAATGGTGGTTATTGTTATTTGACAAGAGCTTCAGCCATCTTTGTCCTTTTAATACAAGAGGTTATAATACACCCTCTGAGCAGCGCTATACGTCTTCAGGGCAGATTGGAGAAAGAATGAAGAAAAGACGTGAGACAAGAGTTAACATTTGCGCTGCTCTCCGCCGCTGGAGACAGCTCTTGCTGAGTAAAGGAATGAAGTTTGATGCTGAACTTGCAACATTTTTCTTATAGACTGGTAAGTAAACAGCTGTTAATGCTAACGCTGGCTGCGTAGCAATAGCGGAAAAAAACTTACAAATAGCTCCATAACCAAAAGTGGAGACATTTATACACCAGAAAGGTTTTAAGGCTTGTGAAAATTGTATTTATATTGTTTAGAAGGTCCATGAAACTGCGTCATTACATTGCATCAACCTCATAACAACTTGCAATTCTCGACCATAACTGACCTGCTAAACAATGTAGCTCCTCCAGGAAGTGGTGACCTTGTAGCAGTAGCTTTATGTGTGTTACTTTACTGCTGCATATTAAATGAGCAGAACATAAAACTGCATGTGGATCAGTGATGTATGGACCCAGTCGGCTTAATATAGTTAGTTTTGGCACTGATACTGCCACCAGTACCCAACAGACCTGCCAAGTATACAGGCTAGAAAAAGAGTAAATTTGAATGTTTCTTTTTGCTTTAAAATGAGTTCATTCATCATCTCATTTTTCAGTGAGCACCAAGATAAACCACAGAAAAAAGAGGATGAGATTTAACAGGAGAGAGGAAGAACCTTTCCCTTCATCCATATGCACTGCATTTCCTCTCTGCTTTCTTTCTCTTTGTCTCCATCAGACCTACAGCTTCACTCCTGTCATCGTCAGCCAATCAGAAACACATGTAGTGGAAAATGAGGAGAGACGAGATGCGAAGGGCGGAAAGCCATTACATATATGAGACTGAAGAGGTTACTGATTATATCTGTACTGACAGTGAGATTTAAAGGGAGACTATAGGGCTTTATGATGCTTCAGAGATTTAAGAGGGACTTAAGTATGGCCTCTGACAACTCAGTTTAGTAGTTTTATGACACAGAGATAATCGAAAGCTGGTGTGTGGGAAGATGAGAGGGATGGAGAGGATAAGAAGAGATGTGAAGGAAAAGGATAACTGAAGAGGATCAAGGCCGTTCAAGGAGAGGAAAGGCCCTCTAATCAAGTGCTGCGTTGTAAGAAGACATTCAATTGTGAATGGTGAAAGTGCAGGATAACATAGACTTTGTAAGTAATTGTTGCAAAGAAAAGGATGTAGTGAGAGAGAAGAGGAAGTGAAAAAGGAAAAGAGGGAAGACATGCCATGAGATATGATGAGAGACTAGGCAAAGTGGAAGCCTGAGACTGAGGAGATACTTTACAAGTGTTGTTTCACCTTTTTTCCTTCTTTTGCCCAGCATGAGAGCGTCTGTTGATACAACTGTTGAGGAGATAAAGTTCAGCGGAGAAAGAGGAAGAAGGATGGAGGCTGAAAACCAAGAGATAGAATAAAGCTAAAGACAGGGCTGAGGCAGAGATTAGATAAAGATATTTTAGGGGAAGTAAAGAGAGAAGAGAGCCAGAGCTGAAGGAGCAAAAGTACTTAAAGGATCACATACATCTACATCCTGAAAGACTGACACAACAGACATAAATAAAGCCTGCGTCTTGTGTATCCGTCTTCATCCCTTTGAGACATTCCTACTTCTCATCCACTTGCCTTTCTCCAGGTGTACACGCCCCTTCCCTCTCCTTCTCCTCCTGACTCCACTTCCCACTGCGTTTCTCCCTGTCTTTCCAAAATCATCTCCTCTCCTCCTCTCCCCTCCTCTTCTCATCTCCTCTCCTTTTATTTTGTGTGTGTGACAATTTTAAAGAATGTGAAGAGGACAGGAGAAAAAAAGTTCTGAGAATTTTTTCACCTTTTATAAATGTAGAATAAATCCAGATTCTGTTTATTTTCATACTGAATAAACATTTTATTAAGGGTTTTAATTTACAAAAGGGAGACCATATGGGAAAAACGTGGAATTATTTCACCTTATTGGTTAAATTTAGCTCTTTTTTTTTCTTTTCTTTTTTTTTAAAGCTTTTAAAATGCAATTCATGTCTCAAAACTGGCATATTTTACAGCTTCAGTGCGTCGGTCCATTGTTGCAGCTGTAGCCTGCAGTCAGAGTCAGTCATGCAGTCATGTTACAGTCTTGCATCTTGATCAAATTATAATTATGATCTAAAAACAGAGATGGGGGGAGGTGTAGAAAGAGAAAAGGGGCGCGTATTGAAAGCGAAGAAAGGGTTACATGAGGATAGACGGATTATGTTCAGACTCACATAATCCAGCCTTTGTCTCTCCATGTCTTTATTGAATCCACTTCTCAGATCCTGATAAATCAGATATGCGGTTGTGTCTGTCCACATTAACCTGTTGCCTGGCTGCAAATTTGTCACTGTGAACATGCCCACTCTTCCTTAAAAGCTCATTCAAGCATTATGGGCTGTCACCCAGACTGTGATGTTAGGATTTCTGGTAAAGGACTCCAGAAACAAATGTGTACCATCTTAGTCATTTTTCTGTGCTCATATTTGGGCTCTGTATTCACTCTTTCACATTTTTTCTCAACAGCTGACTCACAACCCGTCTTTCATCGCCTTTCCGCTCCCGTCTTTTCTTTTGCTTTGTTGTTTTTTAGAGAATAGATGATTCAGATTCAGCTTTGCATTGTAAGCAGTAAACAATGTTATGTTAATTACCTTGGCATTTGTTTAGGCACGAACTGGATTGTCTAATAAAAAACAAAAACTCTTTTTATTGTCTCTGTAAAACAAAACTCATCGGGATGAAGATTACCGTAAAGTCCAAAATTATTAAATAAGGAACTGTTGGGAGCTTTTCCACTTTGTCAGCCTCAAGTGGCACAATTGGCAGTTGCACAGTTTGACTATAACAACCTTTAGCTATGTAGCATTATTGAATGAATATCCTGGATTAAGTTTTTCCTCTAACATCATCACCATTCAGAGGTGTAATTATTCTGATCCTTTAATTGAGTAAAAGTGCCAGTGCAACAATATAAAAATACTTCATTACAAGTCAAAATATTAATTAAAAGTATTGTCAGCCAAAATGCACCAGAGGTATCAAAGTAAAAATGGCCCCTGTGAGTGATTTACTGTTGTATATTACATTATTAGATTGTTAATATTGATGCATAAATGTATAAGTAGCTGTGATAAAGCTAGCTAAAGGAGTATTCCTGTGATTTATTATAACAGTATAAAGCTGAAGGGCTTGTGAGAATCAGATTTTTTTGGCCTCTAGCAACTTTTTAATTGACACACCCTCAGACTGTAAGGTACAATTTAATCCTTAAGCAAAACTGGGATTTTCAAACTGCTTATTTCTCTCTCACATACTATCTGGATTTTCCAGTAATCATACCCTGTTTTTCTCTCTTGCAACATGTCGTGTCTCCTGAAGACCAAGCGGTGCTCTGAATCATATCAGAATATTAATGTTCATGTAAACACACGGTTGTCTGTCTCTCTCAGCCACACATGGTCCTGGTTTATCTGTATCCGCAGGCAAAGCCCTTTAACCTCTACTATTTCAGTTGGAACAACACAAAGAAAGCTCTGATGTATGGATGAATCTAAATGCTCTGCTACTCTTTCAATCAAATGTGAGTTTGTTTATGGCCAGAAGTGTGTGTGTGTGTGTGTGTGTGTGTGTGTGTGTGTGTGTGTGTGTGTGTGTGTGTGTGTGTGTGTGTGTGTGTGTGTGCTGTGCGTGTAGTGTTGCTGATTGTGTGTGCTGTGTGTGGTGTGTGTGTGTGTGGTGTGTGTGTGTGTTGTGTGTGTGTGGATCTGCTGTTCTCCGTGTCAATACACACTTAAACATCTTTCACATTTACATCCTTGCTCATTAACATCAAGGACCGAGGGGGCACGGGTCAAAAGGTCAAACACACCAGTAGCTCAGCCGTTACAGCTACCTGTTTTTCTTACATTCATTTAGATCCAGCTCCCTCCGGGCCTTTCGTGTGAGTCTGAGAAACTTCCCTTCTTCTTAAAGGGATCATCAGAAATTGTGAAAGAACTGCTGCAGGGTCAAGGTTCAGATTAATAATGGAGCACAGGTTCGTTTACAGGATATTTAAACTGTGAACTCATAATAGAAAGACTTGGTTGAACCACATTACAGCGATCACCATATGAAGACACCCACACACAGAGATATGCTGTAGGTTTTAGGTGAAGATATAGATACAAAGTTATATGTAAATACAGTGTGGACATTCACAGGCATAAGACTGCGTCTTTGTCATGAAGACTGACGACAGTAATCCATCATCTCATTAAACAGTCCTCTTTTTCTCCAAACAAGCCTAAGATAAATATGTATTATCTCAAGGGTTTAAGTGTCACTGAAGTGTGTTTGTGTGTATTTAAAGTGAACTGTAACTCTTACCATGTGCAGGGGGTCTTTAGGGATTTCTAATGGGGGTCCAGGATTCCATTACCTTCTATTCTGACACACACCTACACACACACACACACACACACACACACACACAGATGCACAGTTGAGTGTATGTGTGGGATTGTGTCTAAGTCTAACAAAACCTCCTCTGTAAATTCCCATTGCTTTTTCCCTGTTTGCTCTCTGTCCTCACAGTGTGTTGTGTAAAATAAAGAGCAGGAATGTCCTGAGCAGGTCCACAGGATCAGGATCAGGATCGATGCTGATGCAGTGTCATCTATGTAAAATCCATATATAAAACTCTCTGATCCTTGTGCTGTGAGCAGCTGTCAAAAACACCTCGTTGCACCTCTTTAAAACACTTGAAATGTCTCCTAGTGCACAGTGTTGAGAGTATGTGCGCTACACGAGAAGGACAAAGTGTACAATATAAATAAACAGCAGCCAGCAGTTATGCCCTCAGTGCAGCAGCCGGCAATCTGAGCAAAGCTGCTTTGGGCTGCAAGTTTTCAGTGACACTGTGTAGATGTATCACAGCTCTTAAGTGGTGCTGTTGGTTAAAAGCCCATTTGAAATGTAGTATTTTTGTTTGAGCTGGAGATGAAAGGATGCTGTCTCTAAGGATGTGTAGTAACACTTTCATGACAGGAAACCCTCAAAGAAGACCTGTGATGTATTTTTATCATATAATCACAATCACACAAATTTTAACAGAGCCCTACTGTAGGCTGTATTATGTAGGAAAATAAATAAATATATATTATTGGATATATTATAGGACAGATAGATATATTTGTGATGCACAGTGATTTCATTTGTTTTGTCTGTTGTCTTTCCCTCTCTCTTCAGGACCTGGACAGTCTTCAGATCCAGCTGGAGGACGTGCGTTTCTTCGACCTGTTTGGATATAGCGAGGAAGAGGGAGGTTGGCTCTGCTTCATGTGTAACAACCCTGAGAAGGCCACAGGTACACACACACACACACACACACACACACACACACACACACATACACTTAAACACAAGCCCAATTATACATAACCATAATTAGTTGAGAAAAACAATGTTTCATGTGTGTGCATAACTAAGTTATTTTCATACAAAAAAACAGAGAGAGGTTTTTTGAAAAACAGGACACCTCCACCCCCTGCACATTTTTCTCCTTGACAGTCCGTGTTTTTCAGATTTTAAGACTGTTTTCTTGGCAGCAGTAAAACCAGGAAACAACCTTCCCTGTTGTATCAACTTCATATTGATATGAGAATCGTCATGAAGGAGACACAGACAGACATTAGGAATATAGATAGTTTTCATCACTTCAAAGGTTGAAGTCTCCAGGAGATCAATAAGTTCCTAGTGAAACTCATATACATACATACATGCATCCATACATACATACTTATCCAAACAAAATCAGTAAAGTAAGTAAAAAAAAAAAGGCTAAGACAGAAAAGAAACACACTGGGAAAATAAGACAGGAAGAAAGAACGGAAGGAATGACGGGATGAGCTGTTATTATCTGGAAAACTGACTCCCCGCACTTTTGAAAACAACTTACTGTACACTTGTACCCTCACTTATTTACAGCCATCAAATTACACACTTCACCTTACAGACTGCATTCCACTGTGGTTTCTGCTGAATTGCTCCCAGCCCCTCGTTGGCTTCTCTAAATAGAGCAATGAACAAGTAAAACAGGATTTAAAAGATTTTCTTGGCTCTCTTGGGCACAGTTGTGTCTCTCTGGGGTCTGATGGTAAAACCATCGCAGAGCTCCATGGGGTGTTTTCACTCAAAATAACTTCAAGGCAAATAATCTTTTCCCAGAACAGTCGAGGAAAATGGGGCCATGAGCAGCTCTTATTTAATAGCTGCCAGTCTGATTTCGGTGTTGTTATGAAGGGTCATTGTAATCAGTCAAGTTAGTGCCATCATGACTCAGTTCTGATGAGTTTATGTTGGACCAGCAACCCCCTCCGATGAGCACTTTGTCCTGGTGAAGTCAGAATTGGAATAGTGGCCAAACCCTGTGTGTGTGTGTGTGTGTGTGTGCGTGTGTGCGTGTGTGCGTGTGTGCGTGTGTGCGTGTGTGCGTGTGTGCGTGTGTGCGTGTGTGTGTGTGTGTGTGTGTGTGTGTGTGTGTGTGTGTGTCATGTAACATAGTATATACAGTGGATCTTCACTTTTCAGGCTTGATTTATGCCCTCTCCCCTGTTGCCTGTCTCTTCTCACTCCACTCAGAGGATCACAGAAAGCACAAAGTTTATCAATGTGAGTGATGAGACAGTAAATTAACAGTGTATATAAATCGTTGAGTGACAGTTTAGCCTTAGGAGAGCAAATGTGACAGAGAGTTTGGGAAACAGGCTTTAAATCTGCCGGCATCTCTCTGTCAGCATCACATGGAAACAGTTATTAGTTATATAAGAGGAGTCAGAAGAGAGGTTGGTGTTGCAGATGTGCTCTGGTGAAGAAATATGTAGGGAGAGGAGGGGTGAAAGAAAAGGTAAAAATGAGAGGGACTGGCTTCGGAGAAAGTGAGGGAAAGTCAAGTGTCTCTAATAAGTAGTTTTGAACCTGTTTCCCGTTCAGGAACACGCTGTTTTCAGCTGCTGTTTGCTGGCAGCTAATAAGAAGCCAGCAGGTACTTTTCAGTAAGTTACAGCGAGAGGCAGGAAACTGTTTGGCAGTGGACGGAAACAGGCGGATCGGATGCAGTTAAAGTTTTGTGTGTGTGTGTGTGTGTGTGTGTGTGTGTGTGTGTGTGTGTGTGTGTGTGTGAGTTTATGTTTATTTATGGTGATGTGTGTTGGAAGGAGAAAAGTTCACCATATCACACACAGGCTTTAACTAATGATCATGAGACAGCAGTTGGGGTTGTATTGAGAGCTCAAGAAAACAGAAAAGAAAATCATAACCTGCATAATTTCATAATTGTGTGATGAAGGTAACTACTCTGAAGTGAAACAATATATTAATAATTATGCACATGGACTGTGATACTGCATAGAGATTAAACTTAAACCGGTCCACCGTGGAATTTTCCTGTAAACAAAGTTATATTTACAATCTTTCACTAAAACACACTGTGTGGTCTAACAAACATGTTGAATGCATTTTCCTCCTCAAGGGAAATAAAATGGGATATTTTGAAAGCAGCATTATTGACATCCATGTTTGTCAGCAAGCACTCTTCTTTCCTGCCTTTTGTTCTTTTGTTGGTGCTTTGCTACATTTCTTAGCACTATGTACATCACCTATTCATGCATGTGCGTGTGTATCCTTGCGCAAATCCACTGTCCAGTTCTTCAAAACATTTGTCCTTAGCACTACTTGTAGTCAGAAACTCTACAGGGTACCTTTTAATTAATCATTTATCACTGATTATAAATATAGGGGAAATTACTTGAACTGTACAGTATGTGTGTTTGTAGATTTAAATGTTTCTGTGTTCACGGTATAGTGTTGGTGGTTATTATTGTGGCACAATTTCCCACTCAATACCATATTTACATGGCCCCTAACCTGACATGCAAACCCTACATGAAACCAAACTGGTGTAGCTAACATTTTAGTGTCAGGTGAGACATTTTGTCTTGGTTGGAGGAGTTCATAATAAACTGTGAGTGGTATTAGAGGAAATGTTAAAGTATGATTAGGGCTATTTTCTTATTTTCTGCTTTTATTTTTTTTATCCCGCTGTTAGTTCTGAGAAAAGTTTTGTCTGTTGGCAGGAACATTGCAGCCAGTACACTCCACTGGGAGCAATGGAGATCCAAAAAAATCAATCATCACAGTAACACTAACTCTGCATGAAAACCATTATTATACTACACATGTAGTATCATTTATTTTATTATTATAAAACATGTAACTGAATTGGTCTGGACTCTGTGTGTGTTACTGAAAATCTCCCTACAGTTCTGAGCTCAGTGAGCACTTGGAATAACACAGCACAGTCTGATTCACTTGGAAATGGCTCTACAGTAATCAGTACTCAGGACATAAGATGATTTAGTGAGCATCTCCATTGACAGAATGATCTTCATCCATTCAAGTGGAATTAATATTCATACGGTTCATTTAGATGGGAGCGGTCGTTAAAAGCTGCGTTCACAGCCCTTTATTTTCTCTCTCTTCCATGTCATTGTCTCATCATCACCCATTACCTCAAATAGACAAACACAGAAGTAAGCACACACACGTCAGACTTCCCGATCCAAACAGTACAAAAGCCAAATGAAAGCCAATCCTCCAGCTCTGCTGCTCAGAACAAACCGGTGTAATCAGTGAGGGAGCTGAGTGACTGCAGAGAACAGATGATTACCGTTCAGAATCAGGCCGGTCTCTCTTCATTACAGGAGGATTTAGAAAAGGAATAGTAGTACTTTCCCCCTGGGATTGTGTGATTGGAAGCGTGTGTGCATGTGGATACATGTGTTTACTATAGCATTTGTGTCCTTGTGTCCTTGTAACCTTGGATGGGCCTTCTGCTCTGCCTGTCTGGTATAAACTTAAAGGCTTAGTTCACCCAAATTACAAAGACTATTTTCTCATATAACCCTTACAGTAGCCATTTAAACTGCAGGTTTTGAGATATCAGTCTCTGACATATTTGCCCCCATCCTTCCTCAATCAGAATGAATGGAATTTGGTTTGTGGTTTGCATGGCATTGATAAACTACATTGTGAAAATTAAACAGCGGCATCTCTATCTAGAAACAATTTCCCAGAACTCACTGTGACCAGTTTTCCTTGAAACTACTTTCTCACAAACAAAAGGCTCTTGTGAAAATGGAAATCTCAGAGGCATACCAAAACCAAAACAATCTGCATAATCCCAAGAAATGTAAGTGGGAAAATATGTTTTTTTTTTGTTTTTTTTTTTTAGCTGAAACAATGGCAACAACTCACATGAAAGCTCTTTTATACAGCATGCAGTTAATGTACTTGTTCACCTGTATTTGTTATCACCCTATTGTTAAAGCAACCCACTACATATTTATTTAGGAATAAAACACACAGCCACTCTAACATGTATAAAGTATCTGCACTGAAGTCAGTCACTGAGCTGAAAATCACTTCCATTAAACGTGTTCAAAACAACACACGTTGCATCCCTGTGTAGATTGCAGCTGTATATCCATCCCTGATGATATTCAGACAGCCAAGTGTGTTAAATAAGTGACCCCTCTGTGACCTTTACCACCTGAGGCCTGACATTTTTGTGTCAGTCACACCTCAGACTGCTGACATGAACTCAGTGGCCTGAACCAGCACTATCTACAGCTGATCATTAGTCAGCTGTCAGCACTCAGCTACATTACTTGGAGGAAAAGGGGCTTCATAACATTTGAATGCAGAAACACGAATATAGCGATATATATTGCATTAGTGGCTTTGGAGACTTGTTTTTACATCGTTTTGGGTTGAATATCGGTTCATTTTTGCCTCCAATTGGTCGAGAATCTGACAGCAAATGTTGGGAGATAGAAAAAGCATCATACAAAAGAGCCCCCAGCCGCCATGAGACCCCTCTCACAGTCATATGGATTCACTTAATGTACTGTGACTCAAACAAGCTTCAGCCTTCATTTAATGCGTGGCACAATGAATGGGATTTTGCAGAAAATAATCCTGAATTGCTTAAGTGTGGAAAATATGGAACCCATTTCTACTTTGTAGTACAAAGACTCAAACATAGACAATTTCTGTGCAACCTGAAGGGATTTAGAGGAAAGCTGTTCTCCGTATAGACAAAGAAAAAGACCTACATGCAGCACTTTTACACACGGGGTGAGTCATTGCACTGCAGTGACATCACATATTGGACAAGTACTGCTGGCAAATTCAAATGAGTCACGTACATAATGGTGTATGGCGACGTGAAACATGTGAAAGTGAAAATGTCCATAAAACAAGCTTGCAATATGTAGGCGAGGTCCCCAATGGACAGTTTCTTACTTG